ATTATTATTATTATTATTATTAGTATTATTATTATAATTATTATTATTATTATTATTATTATTATTATTATTATTATTATTATTATTATTATTATTATTATTATTATTATTATTATTATTATTATTATTATTATTATTATTATTATTATTATTATTATTATTATTATTATTATTATTATTATTATTATTATTATTATTATTATTATTATTATTATTATTATTATTATTATTATTATTATTATTATTATTATTATTATTATTATTATTATTATTATTATTATTATTATTATTATTATTATTATTATTATTATTATTATTATTATTATTATTATTATTATTATTATTATTATTATTATTATTATTATTATTATTATTATTATTATTATTATTATTATTATTATTATTATTATTATTATTATTATTATTATTATTATTATTATTATTATGCTTTCGTTCAAATTCCATTGTAAATCTAACAAACAATTCTTTAATTTCTATGATTTTAATTTTCTGATACAACGGATCAATAAAGTTAGACAAAAATCATTATACTAAACTTTTTAAAGCTTATTCAATAGAGTTATACTCGATTAAATTAAGGAAAAAATGCACTTCATTCCCTATAATTTTCTCCTAAAAGTTCAAAAAATGTATACTTCATCTTCGAAATACTATTTTGGTTCCATTTTGCCCTAAAAGTCAATTTTTTGAGGGCATTGTGCAATAACACTAACATTTTAAAGAGAAAACGTGTAAAAAAGTATTGTTCTTAAGGGACAACCTGCAACAAAAAAATAACATTTAACGAGACAACGTGCAACAAAAATACTCAATTCCAATGAATAATCCACGGAGTTTTGCTATCTGGGCAATGTGCAACATGAATAACACTTTGAAGGGAGACATTCACTTTTAAAAAAATTAAGGGGGTAAAGTGCAAATATTAAAAATTTACGGGAGCTGATGTGCAATTTGCCCTCTAATTAATTGGCTGACGGCAGAGCTGTACATACGTAATACTGAGCGCCGAAGGGGGCGGATTTTGGCCCCTTAGCTCTTGGGAAGTGCAGATAGAGAAAATAATTTGGATTAGGGTTTTGCAACTTGCCTGCATCTATTCCACGTCCTTTTTTTTTTTTAATAACCACCAATCGAATTTTAAATGGGAAAACCTTGTCATTAGGGCTGCATTTTATTTATTGGATGCTATATTTAGTAGGAGTGTACACGTAGGATTTTGTTCTATCGGTTCGGTTCGGTTCGGTTCGGTTCAATTAATTTTATTTTTTTTGTTCAAATCGAACTGTGAATCAAATGTATAACGCATCCATCGTTTCTTATTCTTCTTTGTCGTCTTGATTATGATGCCACGTGTTTGTTATTTTCTTATTTGATTATTATCTTTTTTCTACTGTGAAAATGATTCCGTGAAACGTCACACCATAAATGGCTAGGTGCATGTAAGACATAAATAAATTGTCGAGAGAATTTTGGTAAATACGGATAGGTAGGGTGTTGTTTGTAATTTAATCTAAGTTCAAGGAAATTTTCGTAATTTACCCTACAAACACAAGCATAAAATAGATTATCAAATTTTAAATGTAAATAATTATATTTTTAAATACCACATGACAAATAATAATAGGTTAATGGAGGGGTAAACTGCATAAAACCCCCCGTGTTATGTAAAATACACACCAAACCCCCATGTGTTACTTTTATTGCGTAAAATCCCCCTGTGTTTTATTTTACCTTGCATGAAATCCTCCATTCCGTTAACAATTAACACCGTTAACTATTTAGGGGATTCCATGCAAGTTTGTCATAAAAGGAAGTTTGGTGCATGTTATTTACAATACAAGTGGAATTTATGTAAAATATATTTATTTATTTAAAAGTTGAATTATTTTTTTGAAATAAGTCAAATACATTTATCAATTTTTGAAAGTCGAATTTTCAAAATTATTAATATAATTATTTATATTAAAACTAAATTCGAATTTTCATATTATTTATATTCTTTGACATATAATACATCCAAGATAAATTATACAAATATATAATAATATTGATATTATAAGTATATAATTTTGATTTTTATAAAATACATTGATAAAACACTTTTTGAATTCAAAATTGGAAATTCCAAAAAAAAATTAATTAGTTTCAATTTTCATGCAACTTTTTTTTTAAGAAATGGAATCAAATTTTTGAAATCCAATTGAGAAAAAAGATGTTCTAATATTTTAAAAAATAAATTGGAAACGGAAATTACAAGAAAAAAAACTTGTTAGAAATTTCATCCTTACCATTAGCCTTTAATTTTTTTTTATTGCAATTGAATATATGTGTTTGACTTAATTTAAAAGAAAAATTGAATTTTAAATAAATAAAATATTTTTTGCATAAAATCCCCATATATTGAAGAAAATATGCACCAAACCCCCTGTGTTATGAAAAATTTGGATGGAATCCCCTAAATAATTAACGGTGTTAATTATTAACAAAATGGGGAATTTCATGCAAGGTAAAATAAAACACTGGGGGATTCTACGCAATAAACCTGCTAAGATTGGCCGATGAAAAAAATATTAAATAAGGGTTTTGGCTCTTGGACAGAACACAGAGCTACATAATCCTGACAATCCTCATTAATTTAGGTTTTGCGGATTGCGTGCATGCACGCCACGTGGTTTTAATTTGTCCTCTTTATAAAAAGGATTTAAATACATTTGACACCCATGAATTATAACATATGTAACACATACCTATTAAAGTATTATTTGTAACACTTCTCCACTCAATATCAATTATTTTAAATTATAACATATGTAGCACGTACCCTAGTACAGTATTATTCGTAACACGTATTCCCTCAATATCAATTATTTTAAATTTTATTTATTTCACAATAATACACATAACAATCTAATAATTGTTGGATCATAAAAAAATGAAAAGTAACTAAAATAAAATTATTAAAAAGTAATATAGATTGTATAATAATGAATGAAAATAATTTATATACTCAAGATTATTCATTTCTTAAAATTTATCGATATCAATATATTCGACTTATTGAATGTGTACCTAACATACACAAGATCATATTTATATAAAAAAAAATTATTGCACTTTTCAACAGATGTTTTTAGTTGTATAATTTAATTACTGTTTTTAGTTGCACTTTTCACTAAAATAGAGAGAGACGAGAGAGAAGAGAAGAGAGTGGGAAGAGAAGAAATTCTCATTCTATTAATTAATAACAACCAAAGGGATTTTCTCAAATTCTTTACAAGATTTTAATTTCCACTACATTACAACTCTCATCTTACCTCACCAGTTAAAATATATATGACCCATTCATTGAGTGAGATTTGTTGGTTTAGAAACGCTATTTGATCAAAAGAAAACGAGCAACCAATTGCATGAAGAAAAAAAACATGTATAAAGTCAATAAATTTATAAATATGCATCATATTTATATAAAATATTAAGATCATGGAAAACATGTTAATTAACACTTAATGACTAGCTAGGACTGATGGTGTAGGATCTACACCCTCGACACCTTATAACTTCAAAACTCTACTCCTTTAAGACTGTAAGAACGTACACAAGACGTCGTCGGATCTTGGTCCGGCGACGGCGGTAAGATTACGAACATAATTAATTTAGTTAACGCAAAAGAGAGAGTATCAATGTATTATTCAAAACGTAATCCTATTAGGGTTTCTAACGTTCATTTATATATAAGACCAAAGATCAGTTAAGATCCTTTACTTACGTTATTAATTGATACTACTTTATAACTTATTACACACGAGTTATACATGACAAGATCACACAATCAGTTCTGATTTCCAGACGCTCGTGATTCTCCGTCAATTAAGATCTCGTCGCAGATCCTCCTTGGCGAGAGCTAGACTGGGACCGGGCGACCTTATTGGGCCGGATGGCTGACCGAGGCCTCACTAGGCCAAAACACAACACTGGCGACGTAAAAAAGATATTGGCGACGAAAATTCAACCCTTGTGACGAAACAAAATCGTCGCAACGGAGACAAAAAAAGATCGCCAAACGGCTCGTCGCGAAGCCTGCGACGAAACATTATTTTCGTCGCAGAAAGTTGCGACGCTTCCACATTTCGTCGCAACAATTCGTGTTTGCCAATTTATTTTCGTTTGCGACGAAATTTGACAATCGGCGCAAATCCTAGTCATCTTGCGACGATTGTGCGAAAAACGTCGCAATTGGTTTGTGCAAATGTGCGACGAAAATGATTTTTGTCGCAATTATTTATCCACTTATTTGCAACGTTGTACAAAATCTCGCAAGTTTTTTTTTTTCTTTAGCATTTTAAAATAACAAATTAACCTGTAATTAATTAATTACCAATTCTAATGACACAGAATTAACTATTAGGTCAAAGAACCAACATATTCAAATTTATTCCATCACATTAAAATCAAAATATTAAGTGAAATACACTACAAATTCGAAACTACACTCAAAACAAAAGTTTCAACATATAAGAGTGGCGCGCTACGAGCTTTCGAGATGGCTGACCGAGGCCCTTTCAAGGACTATATTTATTAATTATTAATTATTAATTATTAATTATTAATTATTAATAATAATACTCACAGTCGAGCATTATAATTGACTGTAATTATCCTCATACGGCAAATCCCAAACAGAAGTACTTGAACAAGTTTCTTGATCAGGTAAGAACATGTCCACGTCAGCAGGAGGAGGAATATTAGGGTTATCAAACTGCAATTCCTCAATCAGATTTTCTCCCCAATAATTCCCAGACCTAATTGACATGCTATTACTTCTTTCAAATGCCATTTTTACCCATTCCCCTAAATCCATTTCATCATCCTCATTGTTATGATTTCCATCACTTTTTCGGCATTTCGTGTTTTCGTCGTTTGCACACGGAGTAGGGTCGAACGCGCATTTTCTCTTATCGTTGTTATTGTAGAAATCGGACTCGGCATCGAACCGGTCGTTCGCGGTGTCGACTAATAACCCTTCTTGCTCTTCCGTGTTTTCGTCGTCGGATATTTTGAGCGATTTCTTCGTCAGTGTGGAAAGTGCTTCTTCTTGATTAACAACTTTCGACCAGGTGGCGGTATCTTTCGCCGTCATGTTATTCTGAAGAATCTTCGACTCCGTCACGAAACCCCTCATCCTATCCAAATCCGGCGACATGTGTTGTATTATCGCCGCCAATACACTCACCTTCCAAGCCTTCTTCAGATCGTGCGGCTTCCGGTACGGCGGCGGCCCCTGCTCCTGCGCCACTCCCTGGTCCCCCCACCACAGCTCGTCCCCCTTCGGCCACCACGGCGGCGGCTGCCCTCTCTCCAACGGAAACTTCCGCTGCGGCGGCAGGCAGTGCTGGAGAAGGGCGGAGAGGATGGATCCTAGAGTGGCGTCCGGCAGCTCCTGGAGGAGGTACATACAGGAGATGGGGTCCATCTTTCCGGCGGCGGTTTCTTCGACGACGATCTGGGCGATGGCGGCGGGGGCGTTCTTGTCGAACTCCACCGTCTCCTTCCACCACTTGCGGAGGCTCTCCGACGAGCCGGAGAGAGGGGTGCCCGTGCCCTTCTCCGGCACGATGCCGTAGACGAAGCCCTGTGCTTTGCAGACCTCCATTACTTTCACCATGTATTTGAGAATGGCGGCTTGTGCTCGGGATATTTTCTTCAGGCGGGATTTCTCCAGCTTTGATTGTGAGGTGGGGTCCGCCTTCAGCTTCTTCATCAGCGCACGGTCCTTCCACATCCGCCGCTCCAGATCGCCGTAGCTGATGGCTTCGTCCCCCGCCGCCGCCGCCGGCGGCGGCGGAGGCGGTGTTTGTTGCTCGAGTACTTCATCGTGTATCTGCACCATTTTTTTTAACTTTTTGGGTAGAGAAGAAAATTAAAGATTGAGACGAACGAGTTAAATAATCAACAATTTATGAGATTTTTTCTCCATGTATTATATTATATATGTATATGATTGTGTCGGAAAATAACATAAGGACGAAAAAAAACCTGCAAGAATGGCGAGGGGTGAAGTACTGACTAGTGAGCGCCGATTCGGCAGTGCAGGTAGAGAATCGTGCCAATTTGAATTGGTTTGGCGGCTTTCGTGCGTGCATGCATGCATGCCACGTGCTTTTAATTTGTCCTATTTAATCACCAATTGAATGCCAATATAATTATTTTTTAAATGTGGCTCTTTAATATAACCCCTAAATTATTCTTTTAATAGGGAGAGACTCAAATTGATAAAATAAAAAATGGGGAGAAATCCAAATTATTTTGTACCATTTGAGAAAAACTCATTTCTAATTTCAGTCAACCATTTTTTTAATTATGTCCTTTTTTTTTTCTGCCCATCAGCCTTATGATTGCTAATCAACATTATCTGGGTTGAAATGGTGGGATAATTTAACAATAAACATTATGATTGCTAATCGACATTTTAGCCATGAAAGTGCAGAGTTCAACTAATCATTCTCCGTTTACATCTGCTAATTAAAAAAAATTAACAAGTAATTAAGCCGATAACACATATTGCGCAAAGTTAGGTTAAAACTGATAATCGGTGAAAAAAGTTGAACGCAAGAAGTAAATCGACGGGTTTCCCGATAGGAGATTTTGAGATGGTGGCGACGCTGCGGAGATGCTATCAGGAAGTTGCGATATGTTTTGGAAAATGAAATTAATGGGACGAGTTGTGGCGTTAGACGGTGGTAACTTGTGGCCGGTGATCGGATAATCTTGAAATGTGAAATAAAGGGAGATGCGAAACACATAGAAGGATAGTTTTGGGATTATAAAAATAATATTTGGTTGGAATATTAGATAAGGGGTTTTCTCTAATTATTTTTGGAATGATCGTTTTCCTTAACTATATTTCCTAGATGAGGGGGTTCTTGCCAATTTTCCCTTTTTGAATTGCCAAAGATTGTCATTATTAGATTATTTACGCTCGATATTGTTAATATTATATGTGGTTAAATAATTATTTACTACCAACCATCATTAGTAGAGTTGGTATATATCCTTTAGCAATAGGGTAAAGGTTTAGGGTTCTAATCCCCCCTTCTCTACCTTCCCCTTGTAATGGACCTGAACTCATAAAAAGAAATTATTATTTATCAAGCACGTATACATTTGGATGTGTGTGATTAGAATTCCTCTGTGAAAATATCTGCCCAATTGATAGACAAAAAAAATAATAATAATAAATATAATAACATGGAGAGATTGAAAAGAGATTAACCGACTAAGAAAGAAGAAGAAGATGATGTCGGAAAATAATATAGGTTGGAAGAAAAGAATACCACTATCGGGGAGGGAGAAGATTGGGTGGTGTTCATGGATTTGATAGAAAAATATGTCGGAAAATATAGAAAAGATGCACCACCGGGGGAGGGAGAAAATTCGGGTGATGTTCATGGAGAAAATAGAAAAATAAAAATATTAAGAGTACCACCACCGGGGAGGAAGTAAATTGGGTGGTCACCGCCACGAAGAAGAAAGGCGATAATTGTAAAACTAAAAATTAAAATTTCACCTCTAAGAGCAACTCCAACAAGGTAATGTAAACCTATAATTTACATATTTTACACAATTTCAATTAAAAACACATCTCCAACAACAAAATGCAAATTTTAGAATATGTAAAAATGTAAGTTTGGTTTCTCAAATTTGGAAAACCAAAGTTAATTTTTAACAAATTGTGTAAACATTTAAAATAATAAAATAATCATACTAAATCCCATTCAACCACAAAACGCCAAGTAATTTTCAATTAATTAAATTATCCTAATTTGAAATTATATTGACAAAAATATTTATATATAATACTTCTTTATTAATAATATTAAATTTTTAGTTATTATTATTATTTTTAATAATCTATTAAATGATTTTTATAGTTGTTGGACTATGGTCCTTGAAATATTTTTTTTGAAATTAATTAAAAAATAAGTTTTGCAAAATAATAAAATATAATAATTGTGTAAAATATAAATAATGTTGTTGGAGTGTGATGTTAAAAGTGGTGTTGTATAACACTGCTGATATGCTAAATTATAAATATAGACAACCGTTTTTAAACGAGCTCTTGCAGATGGCCTAACAAGACAATTGTAAAACAAATTAAAAATTATTCTTATTTATGTGAGTTTTGTCGTTTAGCGAATTATCCAATATTATAAACCCCAAACTGCAAAAACAGTAATTTTACACGCTCTAGTTGAATATATCGACTACTACTATAAATAGCAATATACTTTGAATATATTCAGCAGATGCAACTTGACAAGGCACCAACTTTTATGAAGAAAAAAATCGAAAAAAATTCGAATTTTTAAAATAATTTTTGTCACAAATAATTAATCTATTATACTCCAAAGTCCAAACTCTACATAAATTACAAAAAGAAAACCACTTCCCTATGCATCTTTATCGAATTGGATCACTATGATGCTATATTGGGTAGTACAGTACAATCATGATGTAACACTGGAATATAATATATAGTATATGATATAAGTTAAGAGTAAATTACTGAGTTAATGTCAATTTACGAAAAAAAAAAATTTTCATATTTAGATAATTATAAGCACCTTCAACTATGAATCATTTTATATGTTTACTTTTGCGGTGTCAAATATAGTGGAATCTTCTTGATTATATGGAATATTCTTCATATAATACCCGTTTTATCCCATTCGAGCTCCACATTTTGAAACAAGATGATGTTTCTCCTGGCATGTAAGATTGTGGTGCATCAGAAACTATATTTTTGCACAAAACGAAAACAAAATAGAGAATTATTCCACAAAATCTAGAAGATTATGTTGAATTTAACTCCATAAAAATGGACGTGTAAGTAGGGGTGTAAACGAGCCGAGCTCGAGCCGAGCTCGCCTCTTTTGGCTGGCTCGAGCTCGAGCTCGAGTATATTTTGTCGAGCTCGAGCTCGAGCTCGAGCTCGCGAGCTCCTCTTTTTTTGGCTCGAGCTCGAGCTCGTGTCAGTTGTGTCGAGCTCGAGCTCGAGCTCGAGCTCGAGCCCATTGTCTTTTTTTTTTTTTTTTTTTTTTTTAATATTTTTTTAATTATTATTTTATTATTAAAAATTATTTAAAAAAATAAAAAATAAAAACTAAATTGTAATTATATATATTTTTAATATTTGTATTTATTTCTATAATATTTTACATTATTATACATTATTTAAATAAAAATAATATATAAAAAATAATAAAAAATAATAAAAAAATAATAATAAATCCGGCTCGCGAGCCGGCTCGCGAGCTCATGAACAACTGAAAACCAGCTCGAGCTCGGCTCATCAGAAAGCTCGAGCTCGCGAGCTCGAGCTCGAGCTCGAAAATCTCGAGTTCGAGTTCGAGCTTTTTACGAGCCGGCTCTTCGAGCTCACGAGTCGGCTCGGCTCGTTTACACCCCTACGTGTAAGAACATGCATATTTATGGGGGCGATTTTAATTATCCATAAAAAATGATTTAATTTGACCTTATCCCAGCCCTATAAATTAATGGGTCTTACCTATTAAATTATAATTTTAGATGGGTTGTTGTGCTCTTAGCCCAATTGAAGGCCCAATGTAGGTAGTGGGTATATCAACAAATAGACATGATCACGGGCCGGTTTTGGGCCCGGAACCGGCCCGACCCGGCCCGTTGACGGCCAAACCGGCCCGTTGACCGAGTGAACCGGCCCGTCCTATCCTGGACGGACCCGGTTCTGAGAAATGGTGAACCGTGAACCGCCGGGCCGGCCCGGCGGTTCACCCGGATTTAAAAAAAAAAAAAAAAATCAAAAAAAATCAAAAAAAAAAGCAAATAACGGCTAGTGAACCGGCCCGGGTGAACTGACCGTTATTTACTTTTTTTTGAATTCCCCCCCCCCCCCCCCACAACAATTTTTCCTATAAATACCCTCACACCCCAACTCAATTTTTTAATTTACTTATTCATAAAATATTTCAAAAAATCATTTAAAATTCTAAATCTTTAAAATTTTGAATTTAAAATTAAGTTCATGTCTTTTCATTTATTTCCTTTTCCTTTTTCTATTTAAAAGTACTTCTTTTAATTTACTTATTCATAAAATATTTCAAAAAATCATTTAAATTCGAAATCTTTAAAATTTTGAATTTAAAATTAAGTTCAAGTCTTTTCATTTATTTTCTTTTCTTTTTTTCTATTTAAAAGTACTTCTTTTAATTTACTTATTCATAAAATACTTCAAAAAAAAAAAAAACAAATTTCCGGGCCGACCCGGCCCGCTGAACTGCCCATACTACGGGCCAGTTCCGGTTCCGGAAAATGTAAACCGTGAACCGGTTTGAACCGGCCCGGAACCGGCCCGTGGCCGTGTCTATCAACATATATATTTTTTAAAATTAAATATATAATTTAGATATTGTTTTTTTTTTTAGACAAAATTAATGTTGTTGTAACACCAACTGCGTAAATTAAACTGTTACATGATATGAACACTATATATATAAAAAAGTGACTTCCTTGCAAAATAAAAACAAACACAGTCAAACAACCCCTCTCAAAATAAATTGAAAAAAGAAAAAAAATCAGAAATGAACCAAACATATATAAACATTTTCCATATGTGCAAGTCCAGTAAATGCCCGGTGTACTGCAATATGTAGGGGTGAAAGTCGGATGGATCGAATCGGAATTAGCCTTTTCGGAAAAATTCCAAAAAATTTCGGAAGTACAAAATCAATTCCAATTCCAAAATTTTCGGAATCTAAAAATTCATTCCAATTCCAAAAGGCCCGGAAATTTCGGAATTTCGGAAAAAAATCGAAAATCACATAAGCTTTAAAATTTCAAAACTTAGCCGAAATTTTCTAAAATGTTCATAATTTTTCGAATATAAGAGCATCCACGTCGATAAAAGTAAATCTAATAACTACTAAATTTCAGTTCAAAAAAATAAATAAAAATAAACACAACATAATATCCAATAAAACTTCTAATAACAATTCATTATGTCAAAATCCTAAAACAAAACTTATAGGTGTATTTTCGGAAAATAAGTATTATATAATATATAATATTTAAAGGTGTATTTTTCGGAAAAAAATCGGAATTTTTTGGAATTAATTTCGGAATTAAATCGGATCGGAAATCGGAAATTCCAAATTTATTTTATATAATTCCAATTCCAATCCAAAAAAAACGGAAAATTTCGGAAATCGGAATTTCGGAAGTCGGAATGAAAAAAGTTGTTCCAAAATCGGAACTTTTCGGATCGAAACCGGCGGAAATTGGAAAATCCGTTCCAACTTGCACCCCTAGCAATATGTATCGCGATACGATAATATTTCTATGAAAACGATACAATTCGACATATGTATCAATTGTAATCAAATACCACTAAATATTGCTTGACATCTCAATATGATAAGATAATTACGATATTTGTTTTGAGGGTGATTTGTGCGATTTTCAACACATTTTGGGGGTGATTTGTGCAATTTTCAGCATATATGGGGGTGTTTGTACGATATTCAGCACATATTTTTAAAACAATCGTGTTTTTCTTTTTTAATTAAGGGGAAAAAATAAAAAAAATGCTTGAGATAATAGCAAATTTAATAAAATGACACTAGCATTTCTAAAAACTACGACTTTCGTCTAAATCCATAATTTAATGGTGAAACTTGAATTGAGATCTATTATGAATAAATGATTCAACTTTAAGATATAGCTTTTTACATGTTTATCGTATCGTTATTACTTAATATATGTTTTGTATTATTTTTAATATTATTACTTAATATATGTTTTGTATTATTTTTAATAGTCAGTTAAATATCTTAAGATACGATAAATGAATAACTAGAATTTAATAATTTATATACAAAATTGAATAAGAAGAAATAGAAAAAATAAAGAAAAGATTCAAGAACCCTAAAAAAGGGGAGGTAAAGAAAAAGTTGGTGCTTTTAATTAAAAAAAAAAAAGAAGAAAAACATTTGTGTTTGTAGTTTGTATTATTGAACATTCCCCCCTAAATGAAAGATTAGTGGTGGGATAATTACATAGATTAATTATATCAGTTCATCACTCACACACATTCCAATGCTACTTTCCCCTCTGTCTGCTTTTAACCAGTTCTTCATTTCTCTCATCATTTCTCCGTTTGCCCTTAAACCCTTTCTCTCTCTACCTTCTCCCCTCTCTCTCTCTCTCTCTCTCTCTCTCTCTCTCTCTCTAGAAAAGGTGAAGTGTGCTGTGCATGAACTGAGTTTACACTGATTTGTCAATCTATTCAGCTTACTCTCTTTTCTGGGCTTCATGATTTCTACGGCTGCTTCGTTGTATCTGCATTTTTGCTGAACCCCTTTTGGGCTTTTTGACAAACAGGTGGTGTGTGGGGTTCTTCAATTTTTCAATTGAATAGCAGAAATGAAATAGCACAGGTTCATTTTTCTCCCGTACTTCTCTTCTCTTTCCTTTTTTTTGCTTTTGGGTTTTGTATCGCTTTCTCATCTGGGTTTTCCTTTACTAGTGATAATTATTTTTTAAGAGAATTGTAAACAAGAACTCCTCTGTAAAAATGGGGGTTTGTTTCGTATGAAAGAAAAAGAAAATTCAAGTGGGATTGATTTTCTGGGCAAATGGTTTCTTGAAAGGGTTGATAAATTGAAAGGTGGTCGATTTTTTATGAAGGTGTTTTAGAAATTGGGTGCAATAAAAGTATGGGTATAACGAATTCGAAAGCCGGTAGAAGCAATGCGCTGAAGCTCTGCAAAGAAAGGAAAAAATTCATCAAACAAGCCATCGATTCGAGATACTCTTTAGCAGCTTCGCACGTTTCGTATGTTCAGTCTCTCAGAAATGTCGGAATCGCACTCCGGAAATACGCAGAGGCCGAAGTTTTGGTCGAAACATCCGTATCGGTTTCCGGCACAGAGCTTGATAAAACCCCGTCTCACTCTTCGTACCCTTCTCCTTCACCGCCACACGTTGCCGGCGTTTCCGATTCTCCGGCGAATGGGGGCCTGAGCCCCCATTCGCCTTCCGCCGCTAGGTTTAGTTATATGAGGTCGAGTGGGGCTAATGCATTGACAGTCAAAATGAGGCCCATGCCGAGAAGTTTGCATCTCGAAGAAGGTGAATTTACGATGCCGCCCCCGCCGCCACCTCCTCCCCCCGAATCGGGGTCTTCGTGGGATTATTTCGACCCTGCTGATGAAAGCTTTAGGTTTGTGGGACAAAACGGTTCGAATTTAGAAACCGACGATGAGAATTTCGGCAAGAAAGAAATCGATTTAAATGAGAATGATGAGGTTCACGAAGGGTTTTCAACTCCCAAATTGAAGTCTCCTATAAGTGGAAACGGCATCGGTGAGAATTCTGTTACACCTGAGAAGAGTAACGATAGGCAATCTAATTCGAGAAAAAATAAATCGTCGGTGGATAATGACGTATGTGCTGAAAGGGAGGACCCTTCTGAGTTCATAACGCACAGGGCGAAAGATTTTCTATCGAGCATAAAGGATATCGATAATCGATTCTTTAGGGCGTCTGAATCAGGGAACGAAGTCTCGAGAATGCTCGAGTCTAGCAAGATCCACGTCGGTTATGCTGACGCGAGAGGTGATAATAACGATTTTCTTGATTGGCCAAAAATAAAAAATAAAAAATAAAAAATGTTTCCGATTTTTGAAAGTGAATTTTATTTTCTTGATTTTGTGCTTTGTAGGTGCTTCGTCGGCCTCAATTTCTTTGACCGCTTTCGGGGCAGCTTGTTGCCAAGGCCGTAGTACAGATGTATCTGATGGTATATGTTCTGAAACTTAACACGATAGAATTTTATTTTATCTTGTTTGTATTCTTACTTACTATTCGTTTTTTGTTCGATAATATATTCCAGACCAACTCGTTACGAAAGTTATAACATGGAAAAGAACAACATCGTCTCGGTCTTCTTCGTCTAGGAATCCACTTGCAATGAAAGACGATAACGATGATAGTGGGAGTGATTTTATGGAAGAGTTTTGCATGATTTCCGGAAGTCACTCTTCCACGCTTGATCGACTGTATGCGTGGGAGAGAAAGCTGTACGATGAAGTGAAGGTACTTTATTTTCTTACATTTTCGATTGTTTGTTATTTAAAAATCGTATTCGTGCCGAAAAAGAACACTTAGCTTCTATGTTTAGCTAACAGAACTCAGAAGCACTATAAAAATCAATCTCAAATCGCGTTTTTTAGCCACACAACCTCGTAAATGGTGTGCTTTTTAGGGGGTAGTTTGCTAAATAAATTGCAACATAGAGGGTTTTTGCTAATATTTTGATCTCGGAGGTTTCATCAGCAATTTGATATAACATAGGGGTGCTGAATGCAATAAACCCTTAAAATTTTCAGTTCTCGAACTTTCTCTATCAGTTCATTGGAAAAATCGGGGAGAATGTGATCGGCTATGTACCGTTTTAGTTAGTAAATAAATTAATTGTATTTTGTTTATTTAGGCGAGCGAGTCTATACAAAAGGAATACGATCGAAAGTGTGACCAACTAAGGCACCAATTTGCAAAAGATATGAGTGCTCAAGTAATCGATAAAACCAGAGCAGCTGTGAAAGATCTTCATTCACGAATCAGAGTTGCACTTCATGCCGTCGATTCAATTTCAAAACGCATCGAGAAAATGCGGGATGAAGAGTTGGTCCCACAGCTTCTCGAACTTATTCAAGGGTGAGTACTGTTTCTTTATTTCCACAAGAAAAAAACCCAAAAAACCACCGATAATCATAATAGTCCAATTGACCCCTTCTATTTTAATTTAAGGTAGGGGTCGGAATTGGAAGGATCGGATGGAAACTAGCACTTTCGGAAAAAAATCCAATTTTTTTTTGAAGTGAAAATTTAAATCCATCCCTGTTAAAAAAAAAAAAAAAATCGAAGAAATTGGAATTCCGGATACTGAAATGGAATTTGTTTTTCCAAAATCAAATTCTTTGGATCGGAATTTCCATTTTTTAGTTACCCATAATATAAAATATATAATAATATCAATATTGTAAGTGTAATTTTTGAAAATTAAATTCGAATCGAAAATTGGGATCTAATATGTATCTCGATTCCATTCCAACCTTTTTTTTTATTAAAAATCAGAACATTCAGAATTTGGAATATGATAAATGTTGTTTCGAAATCAGAATTCGGATTGGAATCAACAGAATTCGGAAATTCCGTTCCAGTATCCAATTACACTCCTAATTTGAGACCTATTATCATCGACACCCATTCTAGTGTGTGTAACATCGTTTGTTTATTTTATTTTTAATTTTATTTTCAGACTGACTCGGATGTGGAAAGCTATGCTGGAATGCCATCATTCCCAGTACATCACAATCTCCTTAGCATACCACGCAAAAGGCTGCGCCGTGGCGCCACCTGGCGAAACACAGCGGCAAATCATGAACCAGCTCCAAGACGAGGTTGAATGTTTCGGCCTGAGTTTCGCTGACTGGATCAACAGCTACACATCCTACGTGGACTCCATGCACAGCTGGCTCCAGAACTGCATCCTCCAGCCGCGCGAGCGCCACAAGGGCAGAAGGGCTTTCTCCCCGAGACGCCAGCTGGCGCCACCGATATTCGTGCTGCTCCGAGATTGGTCGGTTGGCATCAAGTCCCTTCCCTCGCAGGAAGTTAGCGATGGGATCAGGGCTTTTCTGTCGGATTTGAGGGATTCGATCAGGGCCGTTGATTCTTTGGAGAAGAAGGGAGAAACGGAGGGTGGTGATGGTGGGAATGGGAACGGGGATAGGGATAGGCCTTCGAATATAAGCTGCATACAGGCAAGTTTGACTAGGGTTCTTGATAGGTTGACTAAATTCTCGGAGGGTTCGGTGAAGATGTGCGAAGATATTGCGTTGAAGTGCGATTCGGCGAAGAATGCTTATGATAATTATCGGGCGCCACCGAGATCTTTTAGCATTTGAAAAATATATTGAATTTTGTGGTGAAATTATTTGATTTTTTTCTTTTTGAGGTAGATCATTGTAAATCCTTTAATGGAAGTATGGGGATTTTATTTTTATGAGGATATTCCATTGAGTTTAATTATTTTATTTAACCAATATTTGAAAAAAAATTAATGTTTATAATTAGTGGAGAAACAAGGAATATTAATATTTTATAAATAACCCCATCTGATCTTTATGCTTAAACAATAAATTATAAATTTTGCTTAATACAATGAGGTCTCGTTTGTTTGCTACTATTAGGTTAGATTAACCAATTAGGTTAGATTAACCAAATAGTATGAGCTATGTTTGATTGGTATGATTCAACATTACTCTACGCCCGCAACTAAAGTTAAAGCTCGTAATTTAGTACTATTACGTCATGAAATTAGTAACACCCCTCACCATGTGATTAATCTTGTAGGGGTGATTAAAACGTAAAATTACAATTTTATCCTTAAAACAATAGTTTAATCTTATATATAAAAGAAATTTAATATAACATGTAATCTAAAGAATCAAACATATTATTAACTAGTTAATTAGTTAAACAGTAAGGAATGAATCCAATTTAATCTAATCTAATCCAATATAGGTAAGCAAACGAGGCTTGATTAAGGAATGAATCCAATTTAATCTAATCTAATCTAATATAGGTAAGCAAACGAGGCTTGATAGTATAACAAACAATATTTCCGAATTTCGAACACAAAATATGTTTCAATTTGAATTTCCAAAAATTTGATTTCTGATTTTTCGGATTGACTTTTGGAATACACATTAGACTTCGATCTCATTCTAATTTTCGAAACATACTAGAAAATTCAATTCTTTTTTTTTTAAACCAAAAATTACATAAATATCAATATAATTATTTTTTATAGGTGACTAGAAGAATGAAACTTTCGAATTTCTGTGAATCCGATAAAAATAATTCCAAATTTGTAACAAGTTTTTTTCATCGAAATTTCCAAATATTCAAGACTTTCCGTAAAACTATCGAAAATAAATATTTCATTTCAAAGAAAAGTCGAAATTTTTACCGAAACTGCCAAAGGGATTTTGACCAAAGGGCTGGCGCGCCCAAAATTCAGAATTCAAAAGGGGCAAGGCGGGGCCAAATCTGAATGCCGCCGCTCTCCGCCTATTTCTAAACTCGATTCCCGCTCCTCTTTTTCACCTCAAATCAACTACTGAATCAGCCGCTTCACGGCGGAGGAACCACCGGAAACCTGCCCCACTCGAAGATTCTTCAATTATCCACTATCACCCACAATCAGGTCAGTCCAATTTTATCAATACGATTCTCTTTACCTGTACTTCCGTCCTGTTCTTTTCATATCGCAAATCGGTGTGTGTGTGTGTGTGTGTGTGTGTGTGTGTGTGTGTGTGTGTGTGTGTGTGTGTGTGTGTGTGTGTGAGTGTGAAGGAAATTAGAAAAAAAAAAGTATTAAACTTGTGGATCTCCAATTTTCAGGAATTTTGAAGTTTGTTGACGCCGCAGAATTTGTAAATTATTTGGGGTTTCCTGAATTAAATTGTCAAAATAGTGAAAGATTGAGGCTTTTTTAAGTTTTTATTTTTGTGAATTTTCGATAATGGACGAAGGGAAAACTTTTGAGGGGCTTGGCAAATCCAGATCCGCCCTAGGCGATCTGACGAACCGGGTCGGTAAAAGGGGATTCACCGTGAGAGAAGAAAACGGTATCAGGAGTTTCGATTTCACTAACAAAGATGTACCGAAGCGCCTCTGTGTTTCGCCTCGCCCGTGCACCGAGATCGGTTCCTTAAAGGGAAATGTTATATCCAGTCTCTCGAAAACACACAACGAAAATAAAGACCCGAATAAGATCTCAATCGACGTCGATGCCGATTTCGACGGTGCTTATTGCTCAAAGGGAAACAATGTTTTGGTTACGGGGAACTCGAATGTTGATGGTGGAGATAAGGATATTGAGATTTCGGTAGATAGTTGTGCCAAGATTGATAATATTAAGGAAGATGTCGTAACAAAGATGGATACAACAGTCTTTCCGAACTGTACCGATGCCAATTGGCCAGATCTTGAACATTCATCGAAGAAAAGTTTGGGTGATCTTGTAATTACAGGTGGCGATGAATATGCAATGAGCGGTTTGGAAATACGTAACGAAGAAAACGAGCCCAATTCGTTGGATCTTGGAAAAAGCGATGCTATTGAGTCTATTCACACAGAAGTGAATAATGAGTTAAAGACGGTAGTTTCTGGAAATGGTAACGATGGAATCGACATTAATTGCTGTCACAACGAAGGCGATTATGATAATCACGGCGACAATTTTGTCCTGAGTCAGTCTGGATCGATTGACTGTCCAATCCTGCCCGATTCACAGGAATCTAGAGTGTTCGGGATAGATAATAGTTCCGCGAAACTGAAGGAGGATGAATGCGCTTATATGAGTGGTGCGGCTGACTCGATCAAATCTTGTTCTTGTTCGTTTTGCACACAAGGTATATTCCGAATGTTTAGGTTTTAATATTCATTAGTCGTTTTTTTTTCCGGCTTCAATGAGTTTACAATGGGTTTTTGTTTTTGCTAATCAGCTGGATATATATGGTTGGACCTCCAACACCAGGATATCAAGGCTCGATTATCAGGTCGGTTGTTTACACTAGTTCTTTTTCATTCACCGAACTATAGTTGCAAACAAATTTTAATCAAACTTACTTTATCGTAAGAAATATTTGAACTTGTGTTTAGCGATGAAAAAGAGCCAGAAAGAAGCAAACATTTTGGCTGAAAGAAGTTGCAGAATCAAGGTTAACGAGAAACACGGTGGTGAAAGCTCCACAAGAGGATCTAAATTGGAATCTCATTTGATGCAACAATGGAGATCCCTTTTTCAAGGAATGGCTGTTTTATGGGAAGACGAGGGAAATCAGCTCGTAAGTTCCCCCCTTTAAAGTTATTACCGTCGATTTAATGAAGTCCCGGAACAGAGAAATAAAATCTTTGTCGATTGTTTGTTTGCAGGAAGCTAGTCTATTGCCACTGAGTGATCTGAGAGAGAAATGCAAATCGGACTTGGAGCTGATCAACGCTAAGCGGTCGGAAAAGCATTGAGGTATCGGTTGTAAGAAGAATTAAGTTTATTTTCGCGCTATTCGTAAGTGAACTAGGTCGAAAATTTTATTCGGTTTGTGTGTAAAAACATCGAGAAATGTTGTATTTGTTCGTCTCCTCTTTCATGACATGCACTTGACCAGAATTATGGATCCTCGTTAATCTTGCTCCTCAGTTATTATTATCCGTGATTTTATACAGTCGATATAAAATCGTAAGGAATAGGATCACGATAAGATACTCGTATCACCGCCCCACAAATTGATGGCAATTTGGAACGCAAATATTTGAAAAGCATTTGCTACTTATCATATGTAGAAATACAGCGTATTTGTATGTATTTGTTCACCAATTTTTCTCGAATAAAATGATAGTCGACCTCCACATGTTTAGTCTGCGCATGAAACACTGAATCGGAAGCTAGAGCATTAGCTCTTACGTTGTCGCACGAAAGGATTGGAGGGGAAGATAGTGAAACATGTAATTCTTGCAGCAACATACGAAGCCAATGTAGTTCAGCCGTAGCCAATGAATGCCATGGATCTGTACTCGGCTTTTGGGCTTGATCAAGAGACTACACTTTGTTTCTTGGCACTCCAAGATATAAGATTCTGGGCAAGAAAGACACCACTATCCGCTTGTCGATTTTTGATCGTCTGGAGAACTTGCCCAATCCGAGTCACAACTCACAAATGCTCTTAGATTACTCTTCCTTTTACAACTGTTTACATTGGGCCCATGATCAGCCTTAAATGGGCTTTCTGTCCTTGAAAAGCCCGTTGGATTCTCTTTCACGAGGCCCGATTTTTTAAGTATGGTGGCAGGGAAATTCGAACTCCATTTATATAATATATTAATAATACGCATAATGTTTATTGGAAGTTTGACTTATATATAATTGTTTTTATTGAGTCCAATTGCTTTTTTTTTTTTAGAAATTCAAATCATGTTACAAATTGAGGTAGTGTGAAAGGTACAACATTCAAACCATAGAATGATAGAAATCTACTTAAATAGTAGATATTATATACTCTGCTGATTCTAATTGTGGCTTGACTTCAAATCTGTTTGTCAGTAGTTATAGAAAAAGAGAATTAGCTTATTTATAATGCAACTTTATTTTATTTTTATATAATGCAATTAAACGAGTTAGACTAATATTATATATACCACTATACATTATCTATAAGACTATTTTACAATATATTGATATCAATCAATCAACATGACATTTCTTTTTGTTACATACTTTGTGTGTGTAGATTTGGTTCTTTTTGCACGCGGCATTTGCAATTTGACATGATATCTCAAGAATCAAAACCTCGAATCAATATATTTTTTTGGTTAAATAAACCTTTTTTGCATGATAAATATTGTAAGACCTCAATGCCTGTTAGTTACTAATTGGTGTTAGGAAAAACGCAGACCCTAACTTTATGATGCATTCAGGACACACAAACGCTCACAATGTTTGATCGTGAGCCGTCTGTACACGGGTCTTTCTCACGTGAGCAATTGTTGTCAAATCCCGACAGACAAATATGTCTCTTTGTAACATTTGATCAATCAAGATGCGTCGAAACAAAGATTTATATACATTCATATAAACATATAATTATGTGATTGATTGGATCTACACCAACCGAACCTTGACTTGATATATTTCAACGATACAAAATTACGTCGGACTACATTTGAAAATTATAATTAGAGAATAAAGACATAAAACAGACATAAGCTTAATAAAAAAAATTAAAAAAATATATATAAAAAAAATTAATTATGGTTAGTTGTCACTTTTCATTGTTATTGTATGCATCAACTAAAGTTGAGTTCAAATGTAGGCACATTTTGGGGTGCTGATTAGATTCCACATTGCAGTAGTTAGACTTACATTCCATGGTAGGTTGTCCATTTATTATTCTCCAATTAAATATAATTTGGCTTCTCTTATTGGATTACATATATATGGAAGCTTAAAATATCTGTAGTTATTCGGTACATTGGATAAATCTACACTTTCGTATAATAGCTTGTAAATCATACGAGAGACGTAAACCACATTAGGTTATTCATGTGTAACAAACTCGACTTAGTAACCGTTGACAAGTGAATCGAACTCGGACCAGTTGACACAAACTCACTTGCTCCAACTGCTGAACAAAGTGTGCGCTTATTTATAAATATTTAAATGATCATAAAATATGTTATATAAATCAGTTTGACGAGTCACATTGATGATTTGTAGCTTCACAATTGTTCCATTAATAAAGTCTAGTCTTTGATTAAAGTTAATTAAGATTATAATCGATACTAGTAGTTAATTAACTTTCAAGATTAATCCAAATTAATAATATATAATATTAATTAAACTTAATTTAATGTCGATCGATGGCACTGTCATGCCGACCTGGAACCTTGTAGGAAGGTCACATTATCTTCAAATCATATAACTGTTTCAGTTGCAAAAAATAAATATAAATAAGATAATTCATATTGCAAAAAGAAGATAACAATAAAGGTTAACCTTTTTTTTTTTTTTTTTTCCTTTATCTTATTATATCTTCCTTTTTCTAGTTAGGGTATAAACGAGCCGACCTCGAATCGAACTCGCTAGTTTTTTTTTTTAAGATTGAGTTTGAAAAATTTGATGAGCTCGAAAAATTCAAGCTTGAGCTTGGGCTTTTGTCGAACCAGCTAATCTTATTAAGCCCGTGAGCCAACTCAACTCATTTACACCCCTAGTTATGAACAAGGGTGTCCTGATGAATTTTTAAATACTTATTTTGGACTAATACTTAAAAATTCAAGATGAAATCTAATTGTCAAAAAGAATTCAAAAGTCAATTTTATGTACCTTTTTCAATTTATATATATATATATATATATATATATATATATATATATATATATATATATATATATATATATATATATATATATATATATATGATTCTGACTCGACAATTTATTTACAGGGGTTATGAACATATAAAGAACGCTGTATATAAACTATAAAGTATAAACAAGTAGTTATTTATATATAATATTATATTTTCTTTTTCCTTGCACTTATTATTTATTATTATCTAATTTGTAAACTAGTGAAGATAAAAAGGGAAAGGCACATGGATACATTGGTGAGGGCTAATCAAACGTGATAAGGAACACAAGCCCTAATTTGGCACTTCATATATATATAATTATTTTCTAATATTTTCTAGGGCTTAAAATTAATTCAAGTTCTTCGAAAATAAATTATATTGTGTTAAATAGATTCGAATATAATTCGTCTCCGAAAGTTAGCATAAATAAATAAATATGCATGTAAAAAGTATATCCACACAAACAAACTATATTGAACCAAGTCAAATGGAAAAAAAATCGATTTATTCGATACCGTTTCAAATAAATTTGATCGAACTCATCTTTTAAAGCTAGTTCAAAGAAAGAGATCGTTCGTTCCACATATAATTAAACAATTGTATATGTTTTACCAATTTGTGATGGGGGACAAGTAATGTGTTTAACATAACGATTCGAATTTGAACATATATTTTCGTTCAATAAATTATATATAAAGCTCAACTCGAGCTCAGTATGTACAATAAACAAACACAACAAACGCTGCTCGATATCAATTTGTATATGACTCTATTAAAGTTTGTCTTGGCTAAACTCGTTTGCTTGTACATCCAAGCTGAAACACAACTTAATTCTTTACTCAGTTTATTTACGCCCATACTTTTCTGTGCTCGGAATTCAGTTTATTTACGCCCATACTTTTCTGTGCTCGGAATTCGATGGATATGCCGACTATTTCAAACATTATAAAAAAAAAGGAGTTTCTTTTCATGGTGATGACATGTCATGTGCATATGATTACACTATCATGACTCATTATGACATGAAAAAAGAGATTGTTGGATTAATCAAGATAAGGATTTGGCAGGATAAAAAGATTTGCATCTTTATCTTCACAAGATAAATAAATATTATTGCGGATATGTAATTAATTTCCCTATTATATCTACATTGTTCATTACTTAATTTATATATAATTACAATATCAATTCTCATTCATACTATTGCGGATAAAGCTTTGGATAATTTTTTTTTTTTTTTTGAGATATTTAATCAAATGACATCTTATATATAAAGACAAGATAAAAGTTCAATTCAACTTTGTTACCAATTGCATGGGTGAATAGAGTAACGACGGTGTATGAGATGCTGCACCTGGTGAAAAACATTGGCTGTTTCACACCATTAATCTATAAATAACTATTCACTAAGAACACGTGAACATAGGCGCAAGGGTTACTACGCGTACATCATGGGGTGTAATACCTACTAAACAAAGGGGGCTATATGTAATTTGTAGATTTGTAATACTAAAAGCCTTTTGTAGAGAGTGGACGTAAGAAATTTACAAAATACAGGGGGCTATATGTAATTTCACAAAAAGAAGGATCATTTTGTAATTACTATTTACTTACGGGAGGTGGTTGTAATTTACCCTTCTTTTGTACAAATTAAAAAAAAAAATGCAAATATGAAATTATCACATTTTCTATTTCTTGCTCCCGAAGGAGAATCAGTCGACCAAAAAGCCAAATGCCAAATGTTGATCATGTGGTGGGCATGCCACGCTGGCCCACATACTGCCCTCCAGCTCACTCAAGAGAGTGACACGTGTAAATCAACTATTTCAGAATTTTCAACACGAAAATTGACAAACATATATTGAACAAAAAACCAAAGTAGAAAAATATGGCACATCACACGTGCGGTGTCGGTCTTTAAGCGTGTGTGTGTTTATGTATATATAAATATTAAAGATCTACTTGGTGTATTTCACCCGATGTAGCATAGAGTAATCTCGAACATCTTACATATATTATTTGTTATTTGAAATAAAAAGTTCGGCATAATCTCATTAGTTTATTTTAATACTTAATTAAGTAACAATTTTATTTAAATAATATATTTGGACGATCCCGATTTTGTATATCACGTATAAGATAATGCATTTACGAGAATTTATATATATCTTGTCAAAATAAATAAATAAATTATTATTAGTACAATTATGATTAATCAAAAAATATTTTATTGAAAATGATTGGATTTTATTTTTCTAACAACTCAAATAAAAAATTATTCAATATAATATTCCTAATTATGCCTCGATGACTAAAAGTCCAATATTTGAATCAAATTAATCTCATAATCTAGTTTTTTTTTCTTCTAACCTTATAGTTTAATGAATTATTGAATATTGAATATAGTTGGTGAGATAAGTCATTAGCAATTACATAAGTAGCATTTAATTATATATTTAATTTATAATATCTTTTTGAGGGTTGACCCTGCTTTTATATCAAGAAAAATAAACCGTTATTTTGAATTTTTGATTTATTGAAGACTTATTTATATTGATTTATATATAAATACAAAAATTGTTACAATTTTGTCTGAGAGAATCCTATATTTGTCAATTAAATGAGGCCTTTGCATATTCATATAATTAAAACATTTTGTAAATTCCACTCAAAAGGGCATATAAATTGTCTACTCGCAAGAATAAAAGTAAAGTTTTTTTTTTCTTTTTCTTTTTTCCATTTGTGGTGGAGAATTCCCCTCACCAATTTTCATTATTACTTTATTGCAAAATAACATTCTATTTTATATTATATATATGTATTGTATAATTTTACATAGTGAAATAAAAGGTATTAATGACAACAAATGAAGAAGTATTAGTAAAAAAGATACAAAGTATAATATATATATTATGACATAAATAATGGTAATGTCACTAATATTATTACATAAATATATTATTACATTAGTGACATAAATATTATGACAATATATATATTGTCATAATATTTATGTCACTAATGTTTGTTTTTCTTTGAGGCTATTAGTAATGGTAACTTAGTTGTTGGCGATGAAGTCAAAATAACTCAAATTTGAATCTAATTATCAACAATTTTAGTTCCATTTGTTATATAAGACTTAAGCAGAATGTGAAGTTAAGTTTATTCAGTGTATATGACTGACTATAGTTTCTTAATTATTTGCGAAAAACCAACTTTTCTTTTAGTTATGCCATGATAAACTATATTTTTGCAACTAACTAAAATTGATGATTTGAAGTATACTCGAGTGCCATCAAATCTAATTTAACACCAAATTTAGATATCAATTTTTTGATGTATATTTGGCACAATTTAATATTTGATCACAATTTATTATTTTTTTTTTCTCTCTCTCTCTCTCTCTCTATTTTTACTTTCTTGTAAGGTTCCATTCTCTTTTTGATATTCAACACCACGAATCTTAATCTTGGCTCTCTTCTTATAAAGAAAAGAAAAAGAAAAAAAGAATCATAATCTTTGCATTCCTTAGAATTTTTGGAGCAACTTGATTGGATTGGTTTCGAGGAATGAATTAAAAGAAGAATCAAATCTCGAAGATGACGTTTTATAATCACCCCTTTCCCTCATGCCCGATCATATACTATGTATATTATGAACTGTTGATGTGGTGAAATAATTGTCCATTAAACACACATATACATGGATATGTGATTATGTGCAGATCAGTGGTTAATAATCACCTTCACCGGATACAGCATAAAAAACAAATACTTAATTGGTAGCACTAAGTATAGATTAATGTCCAAATCCTATGATTTAGGCGTAAAAAATGGAATCAGTACTTTGGGATTAATTAACAAATATAGTTTCTAGTTGATCCACCAATATAATACCGATAACAATAAGTTTACAATATAATATGGTTTTTGGCCTATGAGGTGTTAGGGCTTTTAGTTCAAACGGTCGGGGCTTTTAGTTCAAACGGTCGGGCTGCTATTTTCTTCTCTCTCTCTCGACTTTGTTCTTCTAGTAAGGAAGAAAGCACCGACGCACTTACACAAAACAGCCAAAACAGAAGGCGATATACTCTACGCAATGCTGGGATAGAATTATGTTTAAATGATGAGAGTATAACTATGTTTAAATATTTTATTATTATAATATTTTGTTGAAACCAATAATATTTAGAAATATATTATATTATAAAATAATTTATTACTGGTTTTGTCACAATTAATCACCATCTCGCTCATTAATTGTGACGCAGTGCCTAACCGCCTCCAACTCGCTCTTTTTAGTAGCGTCGTAAATCGGTTAAAGGAAAATAAAAATGTATCAACCATCGCATTATACTTTGTGATGTTCCCGATGTTTCAAAAAATGACGATTATGACCTTCTTTTGTCTCGTCTTTAGTATTTTAAAAATAAATTTGTACTTTTTTTATATTTTTATAATTAGTTGATATTATTTTAATTTTCTTTAAAAAGTGTAATTAGGTGACACTGGGGTCTGGGGGTGTAGAATTTAGTTGGAAAAAGTTAAGATTACCTAATTATAAGAAAAATCTAGGGATATTACGGTCAATTCCTATTTTAACCGTGTTTTTTTTGCAGTGGTTTCCATTTTCAGAAAATGCGGTTACGGTTCCATTTGAGGAAACTCCAAACCACCACCACCCCAAATTCAGTGGTTTGCGGCTTCTTATTTTTGTTAGCTCCACCACACGCCACGTGGCAGCAGCCCACATGAAATTGCATGCCACCCTACCGACGTGGCTAGCGGTGGCGGTGTTGTCGTTGACGGCGGAGAAGGGCGGCAGAATGATACCAGCAGCAGGTGGGGAGGTGGGGGGTGTGTGTGGAATTTTGGAACCTTTGAGGATTACAAGATACTCATGTGGGGGCCCCCACCCCCCCCACCCACCTTCTCCTGTGTGGGTTGTGGGCCCCACCGAAACCCAAGCGCCAATGTTTTTTCACAACTATAAAACTAAACCAAAATCTCACACACACAACACAACACAATTTACACACACACACACACACACACTCTCAGCCTTTGTTTTTCTTGCCAGATTTTTTTTCTTCCTTCTTTTATTTCCCAAAAAAACATGGTGAATATTGCGGATTCGAAATCAGGAATCAACATGGAGATAACAATGGCGATTTCCGGCTTCTCTCCGGCGGCGGCGCCGCCGGGCACCTACATCAGCATCCCGAAGAAGAAGCTTCTCCAGAACAACAACCTCGATATCAGTTCCAGTAATTCAAGAACCAACACGTGGGTCGATTCCATGAGAGCTTCTTCTCCAACCCGCATCAAATCCTCCCCTTTCTCCGACGATCAAAACTCCTGGATGGTAAAAATTCAAATCGTAATTGAGTTTACTCCTTAAGAAATTTTTTTCCCCATGTTGATTTTTGTGGATGCACTGAACGTGTTCGACGAAATGACGACAGGTGCAACATCCGTCTGCACTGAACGTGTTCGACGAAATAACAAGCGCGTCAAAAGGGAAGCAGATAGTCATGTTTCTGGACTACGACGGCACACTCTCTCCCATTGTTGACGATCCAGACAGAGCCTTCATGTCTGATGCGGTCAGTATACATTCAAGAACACACACACACACACGTGTTTGTGTGTGTAAATGATACTAATTAGTGTTTTACATATATACAGATGAGAGCAACAGTGAGAAAACTCGCTAGGTATTTTCCTACAGCTATAGTCAGTGGGAGGTGCAGGGACAAGGTATAAATATAATTTTATTTTCTTTAAAATAAATTATTTGTTTGTCGTTTGTTGTTTCTTGAAATTAATTGCAGCTATACATACATACAGGTGTATAGTTTTGTGCGTTTGGCTGAGCTGTATTATGCTGGTAGCCATGGCATGGATATTAAAGGCCCATCCAAAGGTTCCAAATATACCAAAGTGAGTTCTTTTTCTTCTTTTCTTAAATCCCGTTATTTACATTGGGTGAATTTAAACCGTAAATTTGATTAAATAACACACATACACATGGGTGTGTGTGGTTATGTGTAGATCTACTGTTCAAATTTATTCAATATAAATTACCAGGTGTAGCATCTAATTTCCGACAATAAATTTTTCAATTTTTTTTTTTTCCTTGAGTTAATTTTGTGAAAAATATTAACAGGGTAGTCAAGCTGTTCTTTTCCAGCCAGCCAGTGAGTTTCTTCCCATGATTGATGAGGTAATTTCTTTTAATAATAATAAAAATAATAATAATAATAATAATTTTAATATAAAAGTATTGAAAAATATATTGAATAAATTTTCAGGTTTATAAAGCACTATTGGAGGTGACAAAATCAACTCCAGGTTCAAGAGTGGAGAACAACAAATTCTGTGTGTCTGTACATTTCCGCTGTGTTGATGAGAAGGTAGTACACATTTAAAATTTCAATTTAATTAATTTTCATATATATAAAATCTTGAATTAAATTTAAAAGTAAAATAAAATATAAGGCCCCTGATTTTTAATATCGTTATTGCAGCGATGGAATGAACTGGCGAGGCAAGTCGGATCCGTTTTAGAAGGTTATCCGGATCTTCGATTGACCCAAGGAAGAAAGGTGTGTTCCGATTTCTTGAAAAAAAAAAGACATTTTACTATTTAATTGTCGTAAATTGCCGAAAGAAAATACTAATTCCCACGATACATACGATGCAGGTGTTAGAAATTCGCCCGACTATTAAATGGGACAAAGGGAAGGCTCTTGAGTTTTTGTTAGAGTCACTTGGTGAGTTTACATATAAATTTATTGAAAGTTATAGTTAATTACTACCAATTAAATTTTTTTTATCTAACTTTAAAAAAATAAAAAAATGGGATCTTATTCCGTAGGGTATGCGAATTGTACCGATGTATTCCCCGTTTACATCGGTGATGATCGAACGGATGAAGATGCTTTTAAGGTATTCATTATTTTTAAACATTATTTAAATTATATATAGTATTCGTAAATTGTTTTTAATGGTTAATTGTTTTTTTAATTTGAACTAGGTGCTAAGAGAGAGGGGTCAAGGTTTCGGGATTCTTGTTTCGAAGGCTCCAAAAGAAACCAATGCCTCTTATTCTCTGCAAGAACCGTCCGAGGTAAAAGATCGTTCGATACACCGATAAATCTTATTTTCGTACAAATTAATGTTCTTCTATTAAAAAAAAGCACGTGTCTTATGATCATCTCTTAATGTAAAGTGTATCTATCTGTATGTATAGGTTATGGCGTTCTTGAGGCGTTTGGTGAGTTGGAAAAAAATGTCGTTAAGACGACAGTTCAGAATGAGAAGAAGAGTTGAAGAGATCAAAATGTCTTTGCCACATTGAGAGGTGTTTTTTTTTTTTTTATTATATATACATATATAGTGATATATCTATTATATAGAGACATATATAATTATGTGTGTATTTCTTGCAAGGACCAAAAGTGGGTTCTATGCAAGTATGAAGTTTCAAATTGAAATTTAGGGAAGATGGAGGACCTTGTACGACTTTTTATTTGTAATTAAAGCCTGTACAAGGGGTCACTTTGTAATATATATATATATATTATATAGTGCCCACATTTAAGTAAATAAAATAGTTTTTTTCTCTCTTTTTCTTTTTGTCTCTTTCCCCGAGTTTTCCTTTAAATAAAATCTCCTCCTATTATAAAATACTTGGATTCATATAGGCATATTATAATCTAAAATGTTAAATGTTATTTTAATTCTACTAATACCGTTTTAATTTCGAACGTCTAGTCTGATTTTGCTGAAATTCAGAAGACGGAAACTGTTGTCATCTGAGTTAACTTTAATTTCTAATCTAATTTGAATCAACTAGACTGGACGTCGAGTGACAAAGTTATGATTTTTATGAATGAATGAGTTAGATTTCGAATTTTAGATAACTCAAAATACTAATGTTCTTGGCAGTGTTAATTGATTTATTTATGTACGCATCTCACACCTCATGTCAAATACGTCAAATATTACTGATTCAAGTTGGATTGAAAAAACTAACGTCAAATACTACTGATTCAAGTTGGATTGAAAAAACTAATGTAACAAACTACAAATTTGATATTTGACTTTTGTCAAAATTCATACTAAAAAATTGTCAAAATAGTGTTTGAAATCGAACCATATATTAAAACAGAAACGGCATTTATAATATCATAAATCTCACGGGAATCCAATTGTAATTGAACTGTAGAATTCTTGTAACAAAGTAAGAGAAGAGATCAATTCTTTTTATAATTGTTGATTGGTTTACATAGTTATTGAATCAACCAAGCATCCATAAAAAATAATTATTTTATTAATAAATTAAACAAGATCATAATATGTAAAGTAGGTAAATATATAAAAAAAAATAGAATATTAATTAGTAGACCACAGGGACCACATTGATATTAAAAAGAAATGAAGGATGAAGCATGCCTGAGTGAGGCCCATAAAGATTCCATAGTAGAAATTGACCTTTCCATGCTCACAAACCACTTATTAAGCAAGTGGACGCAATTGACCCTTTTTTTTAGAGGTTTAATAATAATAATAATAATAATAATAATAATAATAATAATAATAATAATAATAATAATAATAATAATAATAATAATAATAATAATAATAACTCACAACCCACCCCTGAGCTATGGTTAAATTACGAAAAACGCCCTTATGCTTGGGTAATTACAACCACCCATCAACTATAAACCTTCTTACATGTCCACCCTTGCTGTGTCAAATTTAGTGGAATCTTCTAGATTAAATGGAATATTCACAATTTTGTAACCGTTTTACCGTATTCGAGCTACTCAATTTGAAGCAAGACGATCATAAGATGTGTTTTTTGGCTTGTATATATCAGATTGTGGTGCATCAGAAACTGCATTTTTGCACATAACGAGTACAAACTAGAGAACATTCCATGGAATTTAGAAGATTATGTTGAATTTGACACCGTAAAAATGAATGTGCAAGAAGATTCATAGTTGAGAAGGGTAGCTGTAATTATCCAACTATTATAGTATTTTTCGTAATTTAACCCTAGCTCAGTGTGGTTGTTTGTAATTTATTCTAATAAGAACAATAATAATAAGTATCAGAAACTTCAATTTATAAAGTTACAATTTGGACTTCTGTCGCGAAGAGTGACATTCAATTTATAAAGTTTGAAATATATATTTTAGGTAAATTACAACCATCCCTGTGGTATGATCAATTTACGAAAAAATCCTCTTATTTGGATAATTATATTTATCCCTCAATAATGATTTTTTCTTACACCTCCACCCTTATGGTATCAAATTCAACATAATCATCTAGATTTCGTGAAATGTGCTCTAGTTTGTACTCACTTTATGTGAAAATACAGTTTCTGATACACCACAATCTGATATATATACAAGCAAAAAAAAAAACATATTATGATCATCTTGCTTCAAAATGTGGAGTTCGAATGAGATAAAATGAGTACAAAGGTGATAATATTCCATACAATCTCAAAAATTCTACTAAATTTGGAACCGCAATGGTGGACGTGTAAGAAAATTTATAATTGAGGGGGTGGTTTTGAAATTTGACAATACCTCAGGAGTTGGTTGTAATTTACCTATATTTAATGTGTTAATTATTTATCTCGATGATATGTTTTGGAAGGAGCTTTTAGTTTAAATTGACCGTTCACAATGTTTCTCTTTCATTGATCGAGAAATAATGCTAACAACACTCGAATCTACTTTGATTATTAGCTTTACCCATTCGTACTTTGATGTGATTACGATAATTCATAATCACATCAATTAAATGGAATAGTGTTTTTGGCATTGTGTTTTTTCAGCCGACAAATTCGATTAATATGTCGCCATATTAATAAGTTATGTATATGCTCAATCAATCAATATATATATATATATATATATATATATATATATATATATATATATATATATATATATATATATATATTTTAACAACGAAAGTGGAACAGAGAATCTCTAATTCTACGTAGTGGCTGGGGGAAGACAAAAATTTGTTGGGGGGACAAAATCACATACTTAAAATGTGTGATTAAAAACATTGATTTTTTTTTTTTTCTTTTTCGGGGTAGGTAATATGTCTAATTACGGCCAATCCCTAAGTTATGGTCAAATTACGAAAACCCCCTTCTGTTTGGGTAATTACAGTCATCACTTCAACTATGTATTATCTGGCGAAAATATCCCTTAAGAGGTAAATTTAGGGATATTAAATCGGTAAAACCGAACCGAAATTTCGGTATGCCAACATTTTATACCGTTTACCTAACTGAATATACAATTTGGTTTTGGTAAATAACCGAACTACATAAATTTTATGTAAACAATTTAAAAGGAGGATAACCGTAATTACCCAAACGGGGGTTTCGTAATTTGGCATATCTCAGGGAGTGGTCATAATTTACCTTATTTTTAAAGTGAAAAATTAGAGAACTAAAGTCATTTTAATGGGATAAGATCAAAATACCATTAGAGTTACTCCAGAGAGTTGCCCTAGCGTTAACTCGTTTTATATATAAGAAATGTTTGCTTTTTCGTTGTCATATATTAATAACAAAGATATCATTCAGTTATTTCTTTTATATTGCATATAGTGTTGGTTGAAATTGATTAATTCTTTTTATAATATATAGATCATCAATTTGAGTGAAGTGTGTTTATATATTAAGGTATATGCTAAGCACAAGGGTAGTATTGCTATTATCCAATCTTATAATTTAGGCGAACGAATATAAATAGGATAAATTACAACCATCTCCCTGAAGTAAAGATTAATTACACAAAACCACCTTATTTGTCAGAAATTACATCCTGACCTTTAACGTTGGTAAATTTCTTACATACACCCCAATAAAAGGGTGTCAAATGTAAGTAATCTATAAATTGCAGGGGCTGATATAATTAAGGAAAAGTAGGGTTTTTTTTTTAATGAATATACCTTACCTAGGGCCAGTTGTAATTTATCCATATAAATATTCCCTAATCCCTACTAATAATGAAGCACCTATGCTAATAATGCAAAACCTAGCAAGGAAAGCTATTGATACTCACTAAAAGCAAATATTAAATGAGATTTAGCTTTCACTAATTAGGATTAATATTAATTAAATACTTTGAGATTGATGCACATCCACTAAGTTGTTCCCTTCTACATATGCATAATTGTACTTGTACCCTCTTCCGAGACCAATGATGAGTTGGATTTTAAGGGTACAAATTATGATTATTATTATTCAAAGAGTAAATCACGGAATTATTATTTTAAGTTTAACCAATATAACATAAATATTAGAGAATGCCTCTTTTGGTTGGAGAAATTAGCTATTATTAATTAAATAATATAAAATTGTTTGGTGTATGTTATCCCTAAAGAAATATCGGGTCGATTTGTAAATATTATAATATCATGGTTTATATTGTCTTATTTTACTTTTTACTAAGCTTTTCTGTTTGAAATTTCTTGATTTTATGAAAACCTACTATTAGACTAAAATACATTTTTTTTACTAATTAACGTAGAGTGAATATTGGAGAATTAATAAAGGCATAATAGAAAATTATATACTTAATGCAACATTGAAATTCTAAAGCGATATATAATATGAAAGAAACAAAAAAAATCTAAAAATGACAAATATTATGAAACATATGGAGTAGTATATATATCCGGATCTCAAAAAACTTGTGTCGGTGTAATTATTGAATATATTGCTCCATCAAGATTAGAGGATTACCACTGGGGTAAAACATGATTTTAATTAGGGCAAGTTATAGCCGCTCCCTTGAGGTAATGTCAAATTACGAAAAATCCCTTTTATTTTGATAATTACAACCCTCCTCTAACTGTGTATTGTCTTACCGCTTATGATAAAACTCATCTCTCAGTAAGTAAACTTGACACTGTAAGAATCGACTTGTAAAAACATACATAGCTAAAGGGCGTGGTTGTAATTAATTATCTAAACATGAAGATTTGTTCTTTTTTTTCTTCATAATTTGACATTACCTCAAAATCGACATTAATTTACCCTTTTAATTATGCCATTAAAGTACTACTCGATGGCTCTCACTTTAACTACCATCCACTTAATAAGTTCTTGAAATATACCTTAATCATGACAAATAATCACTCATATATAGTTTTTTTTTCTTCTCTAATTATGCGTTAGATGCTACATTTGATGGAATTCAATCGTAGATCTTATTTATTAACCACTCAGTAATCACACATACACATGGATGTATGTGTAATTATGTGTATATCTTCACATCGTGAAAATAACTAGGTGTAATATAAAAAGAAAATGAAGAGGAGGAGCAAAAAAGAAAGAGAAAAAAACTTTAATTTCCCATGTGAACAACATAAATAATATGTTTGGCTCAAATTATTGTTGATGGAAGGAAAAAGCGTGTTTCTATATATATATATATATACACTTTAATTTGTATAAAGTAATGGTCATTATTAATCCATGGGAATCACATCAAAAAAAAAATAAAAGAAATTAAAAAGGAAAGAATTTAATCATAACTAATTAGTGTAAAATATTTCGAGCTACCGTATGCAATGACGCTATATTGTTCTGTATCTAATATTGAATGCAAATGTCGTGTTCACAAAATGCGTTTTCTGAAACATATATTATATTACTATATATTATATATTATACACATTTGATTTGATTCTTCAACTTCGTTTAAAATTTGCAGGAATATAATATAACCTTAAACAATATCACGTGAAAAAAGTAATTTTAGTGATATTCTTTTATCATTTTTTTTATTGTTATTTTCAATCATATGTAATCAATGGTCAAGAATCTTGTAATGCAAATGATAAATCTATCAGGTTCATTTAAGAAAGTACTTAAAATTTATGCAAATAAATTACAGTTTAGTACGTCCAAACAAATTATTTGGTGTCTCGCGCGTGATTAGTGTGCATTTTTAAAGGGACCACTTTGCAAATAATGATGATAAATTATTATGCGTGGCGAGGCTTAATTGCACTTTGTACACGTGAAATACTATTAGCTTTGTAGCATTTTCATTGCACTATGCAAAAGGTAATAGATCATTATAGAGTGAATTGCAAATACCACCCCAGTGTAATACCTAATTGTCAAATACTCCTTGTCAAATAAAATTTCACTCAAAACTCCTTTTGTAATCAAAGTCAAAGCATTAAGACCGCTGGAGGCAAATCGTGTCTCACACGCGCGAGTAGTGCGACTTTTCTTCACTTTTGCTGGGGTTAGGGTGGTGTGTAGGTTGTGGGGTGCTGCGAAGAAGACGACTATTTTCCTTTTTTTTCATTCAATTTTTCTTATTATTATTATTTATATTTATTATATATTATATTTATTTAAAACAATAAAATTATTAAAAATTTGTTAAAAACTTGTAAGTTTCACTAATTGCAAAAAAACCCTTGGGCATTTTTGTACTTTCGCCCTTGGTCAACAATTAAACTATCAATTGGTGCAGTGTATATCGAAAAATATTACACAGGGAAGTAGAAGTAGAAAATATTAAAAAAAATAGAAAACTAATTTGTATGGTGTAAGTGATGAAATAAGCCGAAATAAATGAAAAAAACTAAACATCGAAGGTTTTAATCCCCCACAATAAGAACGAATATCGTTGGTCCCAAACTTGTACAACCATAATAACATATGAGCGTTAAAATCTTGAATTTGATCCAAACAATCACTTATTTTGTTTGACACCTAATGCCTTAAATGCATGCAACAAATCCAATACAATGCAATTGACCTGCATATGTTATACAATGATAAACATGTTAACAACTCTATTCCAAGCAAAATGGCCCGACGCACAAATAAATTTTGCTATTTTAGGAAACTTTTAGAAAATTCATATAAATTCATATAAACATCTCATGATGATTCTACCAGGTGGGTTTTTTCTAATATTGCGAAATCTATAACAATTTTGGTTCAACTCAATTACACATTTTTCCAGCAAAATGGTCGGTTTTCCTAACTTATTAACGTATGTTTAGTTTTAAATGCACGTTAACAACTCTATCCCAAGCAAATGGAAAACTCATGACCGTAGCTCATGAATCGCGTAAGATTTCGGTGATCCGACGTCTTTGCAACTCACAAAAATCAAATTTTACTATTTTAGGAAATTCTTGGAAAATTCATATCAATTCATAGAAACATCAGATAAGAATTCCGTCAGTTGTGTTACTTCTAAAATTTCGAGATACATTAGAATTAGGTTTTAGCTCATTTTCGCATTTTTTTGCAAAATGGCCGTTATCCAGGTTTATTAGGTTTATTTATTTATTATTAATAGAACGTTAACAACCCTATCCCAAGCAAAACGGCCAGACGAACAAAACTCATGAGTAAGGCTCATGAATCGCGTCACATTTTGGTGATCCGACTTCGTTTCGACTCATAGAAATCAAATGTTGCAATTTTAGAAAAGTTTTAGAAATTTCATATGAATTCATATAAACATATGATGATGATTGTGTCAGTTGGGTTGCTTCTTATACTACGAAATCTAATAGAATTTTGGTTCAACTCAGTTTCGCATTTATCCAGCAAAATTATCGTTTTTCTCAACTTATTAAGGTTTTTTTAGTTTTAATTGCACGTTAACAACCCTATTCCAAGCAAACGGCCCGACCAACGAAACTCATGACCGTAGCTCATGAATCGTGTAAGATTTCGGTGATCCGACGCCTTTTCTATTCACAAAAACCAAATTTTACTATTTTAGGAAATTCTTAGAAAATCCATATCAATTCATAGAAACATAAGATGTAGATTCCGTCTGTCGTGTTACTTCTAAAAGTCTGAGATAAAATAGAATTAGGTTTTAACTCATTTTCGCATTTTTCTGTAAAATGGTCGTTATCCCGATTTATTAGGGTTTTTTGAGTATTAATAGCACATTAACAACCCTTTCCCAAGCAAAGCGGCCCAAAAAACAAAACTCATGAGCTTTGCTCATGAATTGCGTAAGATTTCGGTGATCTGACGGCCTTTCGACTCACAAATATCAAATTTTACTATTTTAGGAAATTCAAATCAGTTCATAGAAACTTCAGATGAGGATTCCGTCATTTGTGTTACTTCTAAAATTAGAGTGTTATAGTAAAAATTGTCCCATCTCGAAATATATCGTAAACTATTTGTTCTTGCAAAACATCAGTTTTTTTTCAAAATAAACTAAATTAATTGTTCATTTTTCTCGTAGTCATGGGGTCGCAAAAATATTCAATTAATCAAACATCAAATTATATAATTAATTAAGATTTTATCTTACCGACCAAACGAGAACAATCAAACATTACTAGAAGTACAAACCTCAACTTCAATTTCACAAATTACTAAAGATTAATGGTACCAAAACCATTAAAAAAAAGAAAAAAAAAAGGTAAATGTATACTATAAACAAAAAACAAGAAGCAATCAACAATTTCTGAGAAATATTAATCTAGAAAAAAAATTCCTTAATTACTTTTTTTTTCTTAATTTAATTAATTACCTCTCCCCTTTTTCAATAAGAAAATAAATACGAAGAAATTAAATAAATTAAATTGATCGTAGATTTTATTTACCCATCTAGAATTCCGTCCGGCAATCCTGAAACGAAATCTTGGTCTTGTTCATCAACGAATTCTTCACCTTCAATTCGCAGTTTATCTTCAAATCCCTCCGCTCGTTTCTCGCCCAGCTGTTCATCTCCGCCGCCGCCTGAATCTGCAGCACCATCGATTTCTCCGCCGCCCCGTCCAGGCTTTTCTCGATCTCCGCCGTCAGCGACGCCCCGTTCCCGGCCAAAACCACCGGAAAATCAACATCGCCGCCGCCGGGTTCTTGTCTGACCGCCGATCTGACCGCCGCTCCCTTCCCGATTTTCTTGCTCTTGAAAACCAGCGACGCCTGTCCTCCGGCGAGGTAAGAAACCGACATCCTCGCATTCGGGTTCTTCGCGCGGAGCGTGACGTCGAATTCCGGCTGGTGGTGGCTGCCGCCGCCGCCCTTCGGCGGCGGCGCCAGATTCCTTCCCATGACGCGCGTGACGGTGAACTCCGGCGGGACGGGGGTGTAGAGGGTGGCGCGTGCGATCATGACGGCGGCGAAGACGACCGCGAAGAGGAGAAAAACGGGGAGGAGGATCCAGCAGATGGGTCTCCGGCAGGTTTTCTGCTGATCGGAGGAGTTGCGTTTGTGGCTCTCGATAATGAGGGCGTGCTCCGGCGGGGGGACGCGGTAGATTTGATCGCGGGGAATCTGGACGACGTAGGTTTCGAGGGAGGAGGGAGGAGGAGGAAGCGGAGGCTTGTCGGAAGGTGGAATCCGCTCCTCCATTGGAAGATGAGGAGCGGCGGCGGTGGGCGTTGAAAGGAAGAAGAAGAAGAAGAATAATAATAATAGGGTGGTGCTAATTGATTATTTGCATGGGGATTTGAACTAATAATACTAATTTTGGTGTTACGTTGGTTTGCATGGGAATAGCCAATAACTATTTTTTTTAGTCCTAGTAAAACCAGTCAAACAAAAAGAAAATTATGATTTTTTTTTTTTTACTTCTAAATGGGGAGAAATTTTAATTGGTTAAGAATTTTTTAAATTCTTTTGTTATATTTATTTTTTCTTTTTCTTTTTGTGTGGTTTTTATTAGGTGAAAGTTGAATATGGTTTGTCTACATTAAATAAGAGATTAACTCAATTGCAAAAAAAACTCACCTGGTATACAGGAGAACCTCGATAAATTAATAACCACGATTAAATAATAGTTTTTTCGCAGTCCCGACTCAATGAAAACGTGTTAAATTATTAACTCAATAATTTAATGATTTGCTAAACTAATAGAATTTCCCTATCCGACCGTATTAATTTATAGAGGTTTAAATTTTTTTTTTGAATTGATGATAGACTGATATTTATTGTTTGCTAAAAGACCGGTACAAGTTGAGAGATCAAAATTGGGCTCCAATTGGGCATCTAGCCTTTATAGATTAACCCAATAATGTGTTGTTCAAGATGATAGATATATGAATGATTAGTGCATCTTAAGTTTATATTTTATTTTTTAATCATATCTATTTGTTAAAATTTAAAATAAAAATTTGAAGCTGTAGCATATATATAAGTTTAATTTATGAATTAAAGAAATATTTTATAAAAAAGTATAATCACAAATTTACTCCAATACTTTTGTTAAATAGATTGATTTTAAATAACTTATATAATTTACCGAAAAATAATTTAGTAAAATCCTATTCGAAATTGAATATATTTTGCACTAAAATCAATCTCAAACCAAGCCCATTTTAAATCAAGAGAAGTACTCCAAAAGAAATTAATATATACGGACTAATTGTTTAATTACACATATATCATATATATTCAAAATATTCACTATATATTTGAAATAGATTATATATTAATTATATGATATTTGCATTTCAACAACTAGACCATTGCTTAGATAGTGATGTTATTCAAACGTGGGCAACCCAAATATAATCTTATAGCTCATGAAATTGTATATTAATTAGATAAGCATTTTCTTATAAATGAGACAATTTTTTTATTCTTGGGTCAATAAGTGACAAATGGAGTATACAAAGGCTACTATTTTTATTTTAATATCTAAACAATCATTTAAATAATCATTTCTTTCTAAATACTCTTCCATTTGAAATGTAACATATAATATTTAGTGAAAAAAAGTTAGTAAATATAGCCTCAAAGGTTACACGTACCACTCCAATTATTATTTAGGGTAAATTACAAACACCTCTGAGGTATGGTCAAATTACAAAAACCCCTTTCTTGTTTGGATAATTACATCTACCTCCCTTAACTATGATTTTTTACTGCACATCCACCCTAATGGTGTCAAATTCAACATAATCATCTAGATTTCGTGGAATGTGCTATAGTTTGTACTTGTTTTGTGTAAAAATACAGTTTCTGATGCACCACAATCTGATATATATATACAAGCCAAAAAACGCATATTATGATCATTTTGCTTCAAAATGTATAGTTCGAATGGGATAAAATGGATACAAAAGTGATAATATTCCATATAATCTCGAACATTCCACTAAGTTTGACGAGTTGAGGGGATGGTTGTAATTATCCAAACAAGAGGGAGGTTTTCGTAATTTGACCATACCTCAGGGGGTATTTGTAATTTACCCTATTATTTATTTGACATTTTTAATTACAATTTATAACATCACATAATAAAAACCGGTTCACTGGTATGTTATGTCTAGTGAAAAAAATCTGATAATTTTTAACTATTAATGTAAGTAATTATGTGCACATCAATAATTAATAATCACATGATATATTTTATCCGGTGTAGCAAAATCGGATACCAAATCCACTAAAATGAATAAATATCCTTCAAGTGTAAACAATTATAAAATTAAAAAAATAAAAAAAAATAAAAAATACGACCAATCAATCTAAACACGTGAGCCACTAGATTACTACCGACCTAATATATCATCTTTCCACACAAAATAAATATAAATTAAGAAATAAATAAAGATAAATTAAAAAATAAAATCATGTTGATACCAATAACGTGGGCACGAGTCACCACGTCCAAATACACCCCCATCAAATATCAAATTCTAGCAAATATCTATACATATTGGCTTAATCACACTTTGCACCCTTGGGAATATAGGCTTGGCACTTTTCACCCATGTAAAATATTAATAGCATTTTACATCCTTGAAACTGAATCGTATTTTGTATTTTCATAACTTAATGAGGAAAATTTTATTTTTTATTTATTAAATAAAATAAAAAATTGTTATTTTTCTCTACTCTTCAACCTAATTTCACATGTATAAAGTGCGAGAAAAAAATGTTACTTCAAAACTATATTTTGGCAAAAAAAAAAGCACACAATTTTTTCTTACTAAATTATTCGAGTGGTGATCATTTATTGTAAGTGATGAAAATATTTGGTAAAAAACCTTGTAAAAAAATTTAATTTTTTAATTATTGGAAAAAAATAATAGTAGAAAGATATATTTTTTCTCAAATGCTTTTTGCGATAAATGTTATAGTTTTTAAATATGTGGATGAGATATATATATTTTTACACTTTGTAGTTCCAAGAGAATTGATAAATATAAAAAAATAAATTGATTTTACTGTTTTACATTTGGCAGCTTAAAAAATCATGATTTCAAAATGTTTGAATGCATTTTTGTTTTGTTTTCATTGTTTCCCCAAAACAAAATGGGATATATTACACTTTTCAAATCATTTTCTCAAAAGAATTTCAAAAGTTTCTCTCTCCTTCAGACATGATGTGACTGCTACAGTAAAATAATTTGACTACTACAGTAAAAAATGTCTTCACTAAAAAACAAATAAACATCACTTCATCTTTCAATTTTTTTCTTCAAAAATACATTTCTCTAACATCTTTAAACATGATTTGACTGCTACAGTGTACTTTGTCTCCTTCCAAAATACAAAACATATTTCCTCAAAAATGAAATCAAAATAAGATCCAAAATGCTTCCAAATACTGCCTAAATTTTCTTCATTATCTTTAAAAAGTAATCAATGGTGCATGGTGCACGATTTATTATTTTTCCAGGATACAAAGTGCTATTAGTTTTTTTAGGGTGCAAAGTGCTAAAAAACTATATTTTGAAGATGCAAAGTAAGATTAAGCCATACTTATTTAGTAATTTTGCATCCCAATCTTTTCGCTTTAAATTTTTAGTAATATATATATACACGCGTAAATGACACCTACACCCTTGAAATATGATTAAATAATTTTAAGGTCGATGTGGTATCGATAATTACACTTATCCCTTGAAACGTAGTTAGAAACTCTAATGTGATTAATGCATTTGATACGTTATTCCGATAGAATTCTAACGGACTACTTTTAGCTAGTGATGAAACAACATAGAGTTAGGGGGTGACATGGCTCCCCAAACATTTCCTGAAACTAATAGTCCGTTTGTTCTTTGTCAAAATAACGTGTCCATGCAATACATAATTGCATTAAAGTTTTTAACTAGATTTCAGGGGTGAGTGTAATTATCGATACCACATGGACCATAAAGTTATTATAGCATACATGAGGGGTGTGGGTGTAATTTAATATTACAATTATTTCCCAAAAGTCCACTTCATTTCCCATTTATATATTACAGGGAGACACGGATCAAGAAAAAAAGCTGTGTCCGAAGCAGCAATGGCATCCAATCACCACTTCTTCTTCTCTCTCCTCATCCTCCTCTCCATCTTCACCCTCTCCAGATCTGTAAGTCTCTCTCTCTCTCTCTCTCTCTCTCTCTCTCTCTCTCTCTCTCTCTCTCTCTCTCTTGTTTTATGTATAAAAATGATATTTTGCGATGACCCTTTTCAATTTCATTACGCATACTATGAATTTTCTGGGCTGAATCAAATGATTATTATAATTATTATATTGGAGAGAGAAAGTTTAATAAAAAAAAGAAATAAATAAATCAATTATGGAAATTAATAAAAACAAATAATAATGCAGGACGATCCGGATTGTGTGTACACGGTGTTCGTGAGGACCGGTTCGATCATAAAAGGCGGAACCGATTCAAACATCACCTTAACCGTATACGACGCAGCCGGGTACGGGATCCGGATCAACAACCTGGTAACATGGGGCGGGTTAATGGGTACGGGTTACAACTACTTCGAGAGGGGTAATCTCGACATCTTCAGCGGGCGGGGCCCGTGTCTGACCGGCCCGGTTTGTAAAATGAACCTCACATCCGACGGAACCGGTTCGGGCCACGGGTGGTACGTCAACTACGTGGAGGTCACCTCCACTGGGGTCCACACCGACTGCGCCCAGAAGCAGTTCACGGTGGAGCAGTGGCTCGCCACCGATACCTCGCCGTATGAGCTCACAGCCATCAGGAACTACTGCACGACGTCCGATTTCGAGAAGAAGCCCGCGATGGACGGCTCTGATTTGTCTGTCGTGTCTGTCATGTAACCGGTGGGTGTCTATTCGGGTCGGGGTATCCGACCCGTATTGTTTGCGGGTTTTTGAATTTTTTTTTTAACCCACCTGAGTGTGATTTTGTGTTTGTTAATGTGAATTTATTTGTCATCAGCTTTAATTTATTACACGGTTTGTGAGGTAGGTGGAGGCAGTGAATGTGACCAAAATGCCCTTTTTCATCAAGGGCATTATCTTGTGTTTTTCTTTCGTTTTTGGTGAATAAAATGATGAAACTTGAATATTTACTTTTTCCTCTTTTTTTTTTCTTTTTCTATATCGAAAGGAACTCGCAGACAATCGTGCACTAAATAAATCTATGTTTTCGTAAAATAATTGAAAATTTTACGAGAGATGTAAACACAACACTAGAGTAACCATGTGTAATAAGTACAATCAAATGAACATTGACACAGGAATTCATATCGAATCAATTGACACAAATTCACTTGCTGAAATCGCAGTGCCAGCCATCTTGTAATAAAGTCGTCAATATTTTAATACCAATTCCATTAAAAGTTATTTGAAGAATAAAAATCCATTAAAAGTTGAGACAAGAAAACAGTTGTCCATGTGGTGGTTTGATAGTGGTGCTTCAATATTGATGGCCCAACGCCAAAATCCCATCTAACAAACCTAATAAAGTGTTTTTATGTGCTATAAACAAAATTCATATACAGTAGAACCTTGATAAATTAATACCCGATAAATTAATAACCTCGCTTAAATAATAAATTTTTCCGGTCCCGACTCGGGGACAACGTGCTAAATTAATAATTCGCTAAATTTATAAGATAATACACATTCGAAAATTTTAAGAAGTCCCATATAATATATAAATTAATAATGCATAAAAATAATTCTTAAATTACATGGTAAAGTACATATTTTATAGATCTATGAAGGCCTAATGCAATGTAATTTAATTGTCACTTGTTTCTTGTTGAAGTTCACATTACCATCAATCTCGTCCCTCACTTTTCTTAACATGGTTAGAACTTTCGGTATAATTTTCTCATAACTTAGCATAAAATCGTTTTATTCCATTGTTGCATTAAGAGCTTCCGTTTGTGAAACGGACTCAATAATGCATTGAACTAATGGTACAATGCATAATATACACGTAAAAAAATTAAAAAAAATGCATTTATTGGAAATAATAATAAAAGTAATTTTATAAATTAATAAATTATTAATTAATGTATAAATTAATAATTATTAATTTATCGATAAGTTAATATTTCGCTAAATTAATAAAATTTTGATGGTCCCAATTGTATTAATTCATAGAGGTTTAACTATATATATATATATATATATATATATATATATATATATATATATATATATATATTATATATATATATATATATATATAATATACAAAATTACTTATAGATTTTACAGGTTGTAGCATCTAGAAGAACTCTAATAAACGTTTCAAATCATCAAGCTCAAAGAATTTTGAACCACTTAGGCCCAAATCATTATGTCATATCTTAGTTTATAGATATTGAATTTATTTTTCGATTGTTCAAGAACTTTCGAGAAGACCAAATTTTGTTTTTTTAATCAAATATATTTAGTAAAAGAATATTTTTTTAATAAAAAAAATTATTTATTATAATTTAATATGTTGGGACATTTTCAAATTTAGAGAGTGGTAGATATAAATGAGACCCATATAGAAGTTAAAAATGAATAATTGGCAAGTGTGCCTAGGGAGCATCCATTGTGGATATTCTTTTTTAGTTCATAAATGCATGTCACATATTAATTTAATTACTTAGGAAGTGAAAAACCCAATTGAACGATTCCACATAATAATATATATGGATTTAATCTGATTCGTTAGAATATAATATCCAATTATATAATTCTTTATATTTTCTTGTATATTATAGTAAGGCTTTTACTATGTAGTGAAGGATATTGGATATATATAAATGTAAGTATTGTTTGCACATATTTATTTTTTAATTTATGATTCAACATAGTTTTCTTGTGTCGGCAAGGCCTGCTATGTGCAGTGTCCTCTTCTGCGCCACAAATAAATAAGGATCCATTTGATATACACCACTAGAATGAAAAATATATAGGGATAGGTCCATCCCTAAAATTCTCCCTTTGAGATAACTCCTTGGAGATGCAAAAGTACTATTGTACCATTAAGTGTAATTTTCGCCCAACTGCATTCAGTATTTTCGCCCCTACATTCAGCATAATGCTGAACTGCATTTAGCATTTGGGCCTGCATTTATCATTTTTATAGATTATTTTAATAAAAAATATAAATTCTTATTTTATTATTATTTTTTATATATATCGTATTTTGTATTTTTTTTAATTTTTTAATTTTTTTTTTATTTTTTTTTTAATTTTTAATTTTTTAATTTTTTTAATTTTTTAATTTTTTAAATTTTTTAATTTTTTAATTTTTTATATTTAATTTTTTTAATTTTTTTTTGATGAATTACTTACTGAATGACTATATACGACTACAGTATACCACAGTCATATGTATAGTTATATGTAATCATATACTATCTTTTACCCAAAATTAATCTAAACCAACAACAAAATTCACAACTTAATCTTGATATTGTAAATCAACTAACCTAAAAAAAATGAAAAAACACAATCACATGCATGTAATCTTCACAACATGAACACGCATTACTATACATTAAAAAACACATAACATACATATAAATATATGTTACTACACGTGACTATAGTTATATACAATTATCTATAGTTATATAAGTGGCATAAGTCTGGAGTACTGTAGCATGAATCCAACTTCACAAAGGCACTTCATCGAATTTTATTCTCTGCATGTCATAAAACTATAATAAAAACAAAACCTGCGACAGAAAAATACGAGTTAAATAGCAAAATGGAACATGCGAGTTAGATTACATGACAAATACAAAAAAAAAACATGATTTTTTTGTTGATAAATTTACTGAACTAAAATCGACTACAAATGACTATAGTATACTACAAGTCCTTTATAGAGTCATGTATAGTTACATGTAGTCATGACTATACGTGACTACATTTTACTGACTATATATGACTGTATATGACTATATATAACTGTATATTCATCTGACTGAGATCACCCATGTAAGTAACCACTACTGGTTAAATTTCTATTACAGACAAACAAATCTCTCACACATTAGGCATTTCAATTCATCTTCAAATAAATACAAAACAAAAATTACATATGATTTATAATAAAAAATCAAATTACATGAAAAATACAAAAAAAACATGATTGTTTTTGTTGATAAATTTACTGAACTAAAATCGACTACAAATGAATATATTATACTACAAGTCCTATATATAGTCATGTATAGTTACATGTAGTCATGACTATACATGACTACATGTGACTGACTATATATAACTGTATATGACTGTATATTCACCTGACTCAAATCACCCAAGTAAGTAACCACTACTGGTTAAATTTTCATTACAGACAAACAAAGCTCTCACACTTTAGGCATTTCGAATCATCTTCAAATAAATACAAAAAATAAATTACATATGATTTATAATAAAAAGCAAATTAATCCAAAGAAAAATATTTTAATATTAATTGTTCACAGATCTTCAAAAACATAGTAGATCTGTGTGTTTTTTTTTTTTTTTTTTTTTTTTTTATAAATGCAGTAAATATATACAAATCGAACACCACCAATTCCAGATCTGAAATTCTAGATCTGACTACACATCGTCGGATCACAGTTTAATTTTTTTGAATTTAGTTGATTTTCATAAAAAAAAACAATAAAATAAGGTGAAATAGTGAAAAGAACTTAGATCTTAAAAAATAAATTAAAAATGAATGGACATTCATAAATTAAAAAAATAACTTAAAAAAGTGAAGTGAATGGTTTAGTACCGAGTTCAAGGCGATGGGATGAGCAACGACGGCCGGCACAAGGCCGTGGCGGAGCAGCGACGCAAGACGTCGGCGGAGCAGCGACGCAAGGCGGTGGTGGAGCAGCGCAGCGACAACGCAAGGAGGTGAGGGGAGCAGCGACGGCGGCGGCGTAAGAAGGTGGGGGAGCTAGCCGCGACGACGGGGGTTGTGGGCAGCCACAGAGAAGAGAGATGAAGAGTGAGAAACAAAGAGAAGAGAGAGAGAGAGTTAGAGAGAGAAATGAAGAGAGAGAAAGAAAGAGAAGAGAGAGAGAGAGAGTTAGTGAGAGAGAAAGTGGGTGAGGGGAAATGACGGCACAAAAAAAGGGGAAGGGAGTGGGAGAAAAAGATTAGGGATTAGGGTTTTAAATTATAACTGTTGAATTTTGAATGCCTATAGAAAACGACTCATGTGTTGAGACAGACTACGTGTTACGACATTAGGAGTGGCAACAGTATTCTTGTGTTATCACAGTAATTAACCTACAAAACGCAGAATAAAAAACACAAGAATTTAATGTGGTTCGGATACAACGTACCCTACATCCACGAGGACTTGCAAAACTAGTTTAGATTTACAGTGTACATTAATAGGACTTAATAAAACACTAAAGACTCCCTCTTTATGTGATACGCCGTTCTTGCACACGACTCGAACTTGTTGATAATCAAAGCAATTCCTCCTCCGCACTCTTGGACTTCCTCCAATGTTGAACTTTCTTCAAACGGCGGATCGACCTCTCCCGAGATCTTTTAAGCACTTCTCCCGAAACGCCGATCTTCTTTATGGCCTGGTAGAAGAAACCTGTTATGTTGCCACACGTGTCGTGCAGACAGGGCTGCAGCACGGGCTGCACCCTTCAAAGCCTTTATGCTGGGATTTTTCTTATTGAAACTCCATCGGACTCATATGAGGTTGAGGGCCTTATATAGGCACGAAATATCCACCCTAAACCGAACTTGGGCCCTAAGAAATCGTTTTAACTAGGTAATAGAATCCTAGTCGATTTCTACTTCTATTCTAGATAAGTACAAAAGATACCTATCTAGAATATATACATGGAAATAAATCTAAGTCCTAATAAAAATATTACAAGAATAGGACTCTAATTAATTCCAAAATAAACATGGAAAACAAATCTTTGCCAATCTTTAGTTTCCACGTATGGCGGATTTCTTCAATCTTCACAAACAGAAATCTCGTGCCAACAATAACTAAAAGGGCAAAACGGGTATTTTAATTTGTCTAGGGGGATCTATCAAATTAAGATTAGAATTTGGGTTTTTAACTAGACAAGAAAAATACATAGGACCTATCCATATATATTTTCAAAACTAGGGGGTTATCCCACATTTCCCCAATAAATAATAAGTAAATAGAGGCTGAAACTGTAGTTTTCTTTTTACCTTTTTGTCCTCCAAAAGAGAGGATTTTGACTTTTTATAGGAAAGTCAACGGGTCCGATTGAATCGATTTAGATCCTTGACCACAATCCATTTTAGTTTAGATCAAGACCCGGCTCGATGGGATCAAGTTAAAAAGCGTCCAATCAGGGTTTGTTAGCACATAACTCGGTGATCATTATAGCTTATTACATCATAAACTTGCATTTATCTAGTATATGTTTAATGTTTATAATGATGTGTGACGAGTTCCATCCAAATGACATCGCACTATCTTGCTCCAGCAACTATGCAAAGCAGGAAATATACAATCTTGACTTATCGAAGAACTAACTGCGAGCAGACAAGAACAACTCAGATGAAAAAGTTTGAAGTAAAAAACAGAAAGCGAAGACCCTCGTTCAAAATCGTAACCGGTTTGTCGTTGAATTAATTGCTTCATCGTTGCTCTTCGATTCTCAAGCGGCTTTGGCAGGAAAATATTTCAATTTGGTATGGAAAGTTTGATTTTTGAACTTTTTGTATGCACTATTTTTTTCCAGAAATTTTTGGATTTATAATTTTTTTTTGGCTTAATTCCACTTTGCACCCTTGAAATATACCATTTTGGCACTTTGCACCCTCGAAAAATAATAATAGCACTTTGCACCCTCAAAACACAATAAATCATTCACAATGCGCCCTCAATTGAATAATAAAGGCAAATTTATTTTTCATTGGTGTTTTTCTTTTTAGGGTACAAAATAAAAAAAAATTGTTGTTTTCTTGAACCTCAAACCTAATTTCGAGCGGACAAAGTGCGAAAAAATAAAAATTACACCGGATTATTTAAAAAAAACTACATTATCTTACAAAAGAAAATAAAAAAATAATCTTTTATCACTAAATTATTCGATTGTGGATCTTTTATGTCACTGTTTGTAAAATATTAGGTGAAAATATTTGGAAGAAAAAATAATTTTCAGATAACTTGATAACGTAATAGCTGAATGATTTTTTTTCGTAAAATATTTTATTTTGATAAAAAAATATAATTTTTAAATATGTTGATGGAATATATTTTTATTTTTGAACTTTATAGTTTTAAAATGATTGATGAAGAAAAAAAATATTTGACATTTGGCATCCTTAAAAATATCACTACAAATATTAAATTTATATTTTTTAGCTTTAAAAAATCATTTGGGGTGCATTATGCATGATTTATTGTATTTCGAGGGTGCAAAGTGCTATTAATTTATTTCGAGGGTGCAAAGTGCCAAAATGGTATATTTCAAGGGTGCAAAGTGGAATTAAGCCATTTTTTTTTTATTTGGGAATTTTAATATTTTAACATTTCATTCCACCTATGCCCTTTCTCCTTTTCTTCTTCTTCTTCTTTTTAGACTTTCTTGTTCCTTTCTATTTACAAGACCAGTCTATACTTCATTATCTTTCCTAACAAAAAGGAAAGAAAAAAAAAAACTCAAGTACACTGACCTTTACTCCGTTTGTTTTATCTTACTTTTATTTTATTGTATTGTACTAAATTTTGTAATCCAATTGATTATCTAAATGATGTTTATTATAAGGATAAATAAATAAAAATTGTCATTACTTGGTAGAGTGATTTTTTTTAAAGGAAAATATATTCTCTTATAGAGATTGGAAATAAAATAAAAAAATTAAGGGTAAATTAGAACCACCCCTGAGATATGGCTAAATTACGAAAATTTGTTTCATGTTTGGGTAATTACAATCACCCCTCAACTAGAAATCTTCTCACACGTCCACCCTTGCATGCAGTTTCAAATTTAGTGGAATCTTCGAGATTATTTGACAAATCATCACTTTTGTACCCATTTTATCTCATTCAAACTCTACATTTTGAAGCAAGATGATCATAAGGTGTGTTTTTTGGCTTGTATATATCAGATTGTGGTGCATCATAAATTATGTTTTTACACAAACCAAGTGCAAATTAGATCACATTCCACGAAATCTAGATGATTATGTTAAATTTGACACCATAGGTGTGGAGGTGTAAGAAAAAAATTATAGTTAATGGGTAGATGTAATTACCCAAACATAAAGGGTTTTTTCGTAAATTAACCTCACCCCATTGGTGGTTGTAATTTACCCAAAGATTAATAAAATAGAAATTGAGTTTGTAAAAATATTGGAAGTAGGAGAAAATTATAGTTGAAAATAAAGAGAAGTATTTAACTTAAATAAAATTATAGTTGAAAATAAAGTGAAGTACGTAAATTAGTATATATAGGGGAGGTAAATAAAATATAATTAGTTATTACCCCCCTAAAAGAACGAGTCCATGTGAAAATATCCAAATCTTTTGAGAAATCAGTTCAGATAATTATTCAAAGTGATTTTATTTATTTATTTATTTTGATAAAAATATTGGAATTGAGTTAATAAAGAACAAAACCCAGCAAAATATAATTTTCTCTAAAACCTTTATAGAAATTAAACCAAATATACATAGAGGTTTAATTTTCTGCTTAAACCCTAACCCTCTGCAAATATGCAGACCAATCAAAACCATACACCTCCCCGCGATTACGATATGATCGCCACCGGATTTCCCGTCGTCGACGGCTACCCCGTCCCACAACCTCCGCCGCCAAACCCCGCCGCACCACCGCCGCCGCCGCCCAACACCGCCGCACGACCGCCTCCAACAACCACCGCCGCCGCCCGACCGCAGCCGCGCAACACCGCCGCCGCCCGACCGCCGCCGCGCAACACCGCCGCACGACCGCCGGCGGCGGCGGCGGGGGGGATAGAATCCACCGGAACCCCAGCGCCGCGTTGGGTGTCGTACGTCATGATTCTGCTGCCGCTAACATACCTCACCTTCCTGTGCGTGGCGTTCTCGTACGCCATCGAGAATCCGCCGAGATTCGGAGTCGAATGGGCGTCGGTGTCTCTCGCCGGAAACTCCTCCGGCGGCGGGACGACGAAGGCCACGTGGGATATCGGGTTCTCCGTGAAGAACACGAACTCCCATAAACCCCACAAATACAAGGAGTTCAACGTCTGGGTTATGTGCGCGGCGGCGGCGGCTGGGTACTGGTCGGAGATCGTTGTCCCGCCGTTTCAGCAGAGGCCCAAAAACACGACTTTTATAACAGCGCGTGTGAACACGACTTTGCCTCTGTACGATTCTCACCAGAGAATGATGCTGGATTTCCAGGCCAAGCTATGGGTTAGAGACGCGAAGAACAAGACCGTGATTGCCACGTGCGGTGATATGAAAGTGGTGTTTCCATCAAACGCGACTAAAGCGATTATGGTTGGTGGCCGGAGACTGTGTAGCTCTCAGGATGCTGGATTTGATGATCTCTAGCTCTTTCTTCAACATTTTTTTTTTAATTATTTTTTTATTATTTACTAGTTATGAATGATAATATATATTAGTTAAGTTATTCTGAGAACTTTTATTGATTGGTATTAGTTCTAATTAAATAAATGATTTTCTTTTTCTTTGGTGTATGTTTGATAAAACATGATTAGACAGAATTAATTGTCGTTTTTCAGTTTTGCACCAGTATTAAGAATGTCAATAAAAAAAATAAATTAACTTTCATTATATAATGGAGTGATCATAAGAGAGAGTTAATAATTAAGACTTAAGAGTTTAATTAATAAAGTTAAAAACAAGAAAAAATATACTTAATGCTAGCATTGGAAACTATAGTGATAGATAATATGAAACAAAAAAAATACATTTAATGCAGCTTCAATTTCCACCACTACGTCGTATTTCTTCCAACATTGCATGGTTATGTTTTCTTGTTATCGCTCTTCAGTCGTATTTCTTCCAAAATTGCATTTCTTCCAAAATTGCATGGTTATGTTTTCTTGTTATCGCTCTTCCGTCGTATTTCTTCCAAAATTGCATGGTTATGTTTTCATGTTATCGCTCTTCAATTCCATCGTTTAGTATATATTTATCTCTCTTTTTGGATTTTTTTTTTTTTTTGAAATTGAACCAATGCCAGTAGCTATTGCCCAAATTCGAATAGACATGTTTGTTAAATCGAAAAGACTTAGCTTTGTGTAATTTTAAGGCATTTCAGTCATTGTTCTAACTTCCCGCCAAAATTTACCTTCTTGAGGTTGTTGTGAGATCGAGCTTGATATTAGTACTGCAAATACATTGAGGTACTTGGAAGACTACCGGAAGAGGACTTCATTATATTGTATACATCCCATAAATATGTCTTAATGATATTGCATTAAGCAAGCCTCAATCGATTTACGGTATTCCTAGTTTCTATTAATTTTTTTGCCAAATAGAATTAAAATAAACATAAAAATATTATTTTGAAAATGAAACCGAGCAAAAAACAACAAACAAAGACGACATAATTTGTAATTTTGTCCTCCACCAGAACATTTTCTGGAAAAAATATCCAAAATACTATTATGAAAAATCTAATAAATATCTCTACGAATGTCACGTTTTTGGCCCAATTCCCATTTTTCCCACGTTGCAATTTTCAATTTTATTTATTTATTTAATTAAAATTGTGTTGTATTTATAGGGAGGCAGACCAGAAAAAATAAACCACAATAATTAAACACAAAATGGAAGTAAAGAACCTCAGCTTCTTTCTCCTTATCCTATTCTCCATCTTCATTACCACATGTGTAAGTTATCATCTCTCTTTAATCTATTCTCAATTTCTCATTAGTGATTTTAATTTTAATAATTATTAAAATTAAATGTAAATTGATTTTTAAATCAAAACATTACAAGTTAATATATAGCAAGTTTGTTTAATTTGTTTTTTTTCCTCTTGGAAAATGCAGGTTGGGAATGAACCCGAGTGCATATACAACGTGTACGTGCAAACGGGCTCAATCAAACGGGCCGGGACACATTCCACCATAAGCCTAACCCTAGTTGATGAATCCGGGGCCCACGTTGTGGTTCCCAATCTTGAAGATTGGGGTATAATGGGCCCCGGTTATAACTACTTCGAGACCGGATACTTGGATATGTTTGCTGGGAAAGGACCGTGTTTAGACGGGCCGGTTTGCGGGTTGAATCTCACGTCGGATGGATCCGGCCCGTATCATGGTTGGTACTGTGACTATGTGGAAGTGAGTGTTGTAGGGGCTCAAAAGCCGTGTTCGCAGCAGCATTTCACGGTGGAGCAGTGGTTGGCTACCGACACGGAGCCGTATAAGCTCACTGCCGATAGGAATGTGTGCTCGTCGATCGGAAGTAAAGATGTGTGATATCAACGGTTCAGATTAGTTTAGTTTGTGGTTTTGTCGGATTGAATAAGGTCGAAATTGTGTCGAAATAAATAAAAACTCGAATGAGTGAAATAAATGAAAGAATTGTGATGATGGATGTTGTTTGTTTTGGTATTTTGAGTTTCTTTGTCATTAGCAATTCTTGGTTGTTTTCTTTCTTTTTCTAATATAAATCAAATCAGTCACTTGTTAGTGTATCTTGGAATTTTCGTAGTCCTTCGATGATTCGATTCCGATCCAAATATTATTAACTCTTTTCGAAAACTACATTAATAATGTCAAATTTAATGTGTATTTCATGTTATAGGTGATTTTTTTTTTTTTTTAGTTTCCGCAAATTCTATTCCGAAAAATTACAATTTTAGAACAAATTATTTCATTCCAATTTTTTTTGGGGAACGGATTGAACTACTTCAACAAGTCTGCGAGTGAGAGATCTTGCATCTGATGTTCGTACAACAGTATCCACAACCCCTTTACGGGCTCCATAGCAAGAAAGATTCGAATCAGTTTTTTCACTTCCGAAAAAAAAGATTTTTTTTTCATTTTTTCGAAAGTGCTCAATATTCTGGCGCAATTGGTCCGATTTTCACCCCTACTTTGTCAAAGCAAGCTTATTAGCTTCCAAGCCATTCTTGGTCCCACTAACGATTGATTAAAGAAAAATTATACCACAAGTATAAATGTATAATTCTTTCCAAGAACTTGCCACAACATTCAAATCTTCAAACCTTTTTATCATACATAATAATTTACAATTCTTGAAAAACACTTGTTTAAGAATGTTTTTCTCATACCAAAACAAAAAATGACAACAATCATTTGAATGTTTCACCTTCTTTAAACTCAAATCCTATGCTACTTTTGATCCTAAAGAAAAAAAAAATCCATTCTTTTATGTTTCAACACTATCAGCCTCTACTGCACAGATACTTCTAGAAGGTGAAGAGTTCCCGTATCCGACACTTGGACACTCAAAGATGCCCGAACACAGCTCGAACACCCGTGTCAAGCCGTGTCGTAATTTCGATAAAAGTAGGACACCCGTGTCGGGCAGTGTCCGAAATTTTAAAAAAATTGGGACACGGCTCTTATATTTTAAGAGAATGCCCAAATAAATAAATATGCATTTTTTTTCTCAGTAATACACCTTTCCTCCATCTTCTTTGATAGTATCACCAAATGCTAATTTCTAATTAACAAAATCCTCCATTTTCTTAGACTTGATCATGAACTGATCAAATATTTAATCGAGCTCTCCAACAGTTCGTAATTATCCCCGGGTACTTCTTTCGCCCTCGATCCGTTCGTATATATTATAAAACCCGGCAACAACTTTAGCCCTTCCGATTTCGCTAACAAAGGGTGATCTTCCACTTCCACCTACATTCAATTTATTTTGTTAAAATTAAAAAAAAAATGATTATAATACGTAATTAAATTATTAAAATCGATCGACATTCGCACGTCGATCGACTACATCAGTTGACCTCAAAAGGGTAGTTAGATAATTAAATTCAAATATTTTTTTTTTTTGATATTTCTTGATTGAAATACATTATTATTATTACATGTAAATTAATTAATGTACCTTGAGGAAGTTGACTGAGGGAAATCTCTTCTTGAGTTTCTCCATGTGCTGCATTATTGTCCTATCTCCTGTCTTTTTATTACAGAATAAAACCACAGATGTACCTAGGAAAAAAAAATTAAAAGCAAATAAGACCATACAAATATTTGATTTTATTTTTAAAAAATTAAAAAATTCGAATCGTGTTACAAATTTAGAGAATTACCCCGAGACGATGTAACACAATCTCTGAAATGTTCGTCGCTAGAAACGACAACCACGGACGTGTCTACAATGTCTCGGCTTCGATTGTGTTGCCCTAAATTTTCCTTTGCCTCCTTAAATATTCGCTCGATCTCTTCGTCTGGATTTTCTCGTATCAAAACTTCACAATCTTTTATGCATTCTCCCCATTTCCCAATCTGTCATTAGTATATAAAATCATCACTTAAAACTCTCTAATTTTTAACAAAAGTATTATTGTTTTTAACGCCCTTGTGTTATATCTAATTGCTGAAAACCCCCCGTATTATAAATATTAGCAAAGTCCCCTTGTAATGAATCTTTTGTAGCATACAACCCTCCTAAATAATGTGTTTCTAAGGGGTAGTTTGCTTATAAAATTGAATCATGGGGGATTTTTTAATGCAACTAACCCAAGAAAAAAGAGTAGTGAAATGACCGTAATAACCTTGGAATAGCAATCGGCTCGTCTCAATCTAGCTTTACTATAAGCCGAACGTACATTAAGAGCCGATGTACAATCCTCTATCGCCTTTTCGTATTGGCCGAGTTTTGATCTGCAAGCAGCTCTATTACACAACAAGACCGCATTATACGGATCGTGGCTAAGTCCTTCGCCGTAAGCAATACAAGCCTCGGAATATCTCGCAACCTTAAAAAGCTCGTTTCCGTTCGATCTAGCTGTCGATAAAGCCCTTGTCCTCCTCAAGACCGATTTTACTTCCTTGCCATTTGGATCGAGCGTAGATGCTCGTTGAGCTGCTGACATGGCGTCATCGAACCTGCGTTGAAAAGAACATCCTTAAAATACGCAAATTCTATGTAACGAAAATCACAACTATTTTCACATTCTTAGGGCAAAAAATAGTGTATCACTAATGAAAAAGACGATTCTAACCTCCCAGCTACTAAGTCGATTTGAGCGCGATATATTAATAAACTCGAAGTCCCGATTGGGCCGAAGAATTTCGTACATTCATCAATGTCGAAATTCGGACAAGTGTCCATTGTTTCGATTGCTTCTTGATGTCGATTCAGCTTCAACAATGCCTCAGATTTCAAACCAAATATCTTCAATGAACCAAAAAAAATTAAAATTAAATCATATTGAGTCTAAAACACTTGATTAAATAAGATTGAAAAATAAATTAAAATTTATATATAACTATATACAATGAATTAAATTTTTATACCAACGGCGCAGAATCGGCACCGGATTCTATAGACAAGCTCGACTCTTTCAAGATCGTTATCCAATCACGTTGCCTCATCGCATCGGTGCACTTATTTAAATGAATCGTAACTTTCTTAGCCTTGTTACTAGCATCGGGGTCAGCTTCGGGTCCCGATTGTTTAAAATGATACATAGCCTTCTCTGCTTCTCCTAATCTGTCAAAAAAGAAAATTATGATAAAATAATAAAAAATAAAAAATAATCTTGATAAATTACAATTTTATTTAATTACTCCATTCGTTCTATAATATCTGTCACTTGAGGTTTGAATTCTAGGCATATGCATAATAAATAATATAAAATAAGCCTCGACATTTAATGAGGTGATAAGAGAGAGTAAATGGTAAATCTAGTCGACGTGAAATAAATGCTTTTAATGCGCTATTGAAACTCTAAAGTCGACAGATAATAAGAAATAAAATCAAAATTATATAAAGCGACAGATAAGTAGTAATACCTGACATAAATTGTTGCTAGTCGATTATGAGCCCTTTGGTAAAACGGGTCGATACGAATAGCTTCCCGACACTCGAACGCAGCTTCTAGAAGCTTCCCCAACGCCACCAAAGCCGCGCTCTTATTGCTCCGATAAGATGCCTTATTCGGATCGATTGAAATCGCAGCCTCGTAGAGCGCAAGAGCCTCCCCAAACCTCCCATTCTTGTAATCCTCATTCCCCAAAATCTTCAACTGCTCCGGGTCAATCCTAGTCGATAGGGCCCGGCACAACGAAACGGGCTTTGTGGGCCCGTCTATTTTTTTATTCGAATACTTCCCATTATTTGTTGAGCTAGTGGGAGGATTAATTATCCCATTGGTTGAACCAGCGGGATTAATTATCCCATTAGTCTCGGGATTATTACTATTATTATTATTACTATTACTATTACTATTATTCTGCCTCAAATTCCCCAAATTTCCATATATCATTACATTGCTGGAAGAAGCACGGACCAATCCGCCGGCGGCGGCTCTTGATTTCTGATGATCGGTGATCATGCTCTCGAGCTCGCCGGAGATTCCGAGTCCCGTCGGAGGGACTTTTCTCGATTGACCATTATACCCCTGCTGATTTTTCGCATGATTATTATTCGTCTGATTAATCTTGTAGGCCCCCTGATTATGATTATGATTATGATAAGGTGGTGGGGATTTGGAAATGTTTTGAGGCGGTCGGGATACGATCCTGTCGGCGCTCTTTTGTGGGGGATTCGAAACGGCGTCGTTTTTAGGAGCTCTCGAAACGGGGGTGCTCGGATAACGGGTGACGTGGTTAGGGTTCGAAGAAGAAGGGAGGGAGCCGGTGGAGGTTGATCTTCTCGGCCAGATACTTCTACGACCGAAAACAACGTTAAATATGCCGCATCCCGATCTTTTGTCGTGAGAAACGTCTCCCATTGTTGTTATTGTTTTGCAAAACAAAGAAAATCAAGAATCAAGAATCAAGAATCAAGAATTGATGTGAGAGGGTGATTCTTGATTGGGAGGAGAGAGTGGGATTTGTTGAATGGGGAACCATGATGGAAGGTTTTCATAGATGGATGGGTAGAGGGGTTGGTATTATATTGTATTTAATTTTCAAGTTGGAAAAGAAAATGAGTATTTTAATTTTTTTTGTTTAGAGGAGAGAGATTGGAGGGTGGAATGTTTCGTGTGTAATGTTATTACATGATGCTGAAGAGGATGATGTTACAGCATCTCACTTTTTGATTATTTTTTTCACTATGTTTGTGATGGAGAGAGAGAGAGAGAAGAGAGAGAAGAGAGAGAGAGAGATGACTGTCAAATGAGGAAATAATTTTACATGGAGAGAGAGAGAGAGAGTTAAGTGGATGATTTTTTACTATAATGTTGAATATTTGGGACTAATTTTCTCTTTTTGTTTCGATTTGCT